AGTACCACTTCTTGGATGCTCTCACGGATTCAGACTTGCACAGATGGGGATGGCACTGGATTTTGAAGATCTCCTCTCCAGGGTGGCCTTGCATGCACCCGAAGGCATGGCAAAATTATGCCGAGGAGCTCAGAGCACAGACTCCCATCACGAGCGCTCTACTGCAGCATGCTCGGAAAAACGTGCATTGCGGGTTTGGGGGCCGAGCTGTGGAAGCCGTCTGCGGTTTGGTTATGGAGTCGCACGTGCTGATGGAGCTCACATGCCTTGTCCTGCCACAACGATCAGCATCAAGCATTCAGCCATCGCAGGCACAGCAACCGAGCCGAAACATGCGCGCAATCTCGCCCCCGCGGTCACTGTGGCACTTTGCGTACCATCGCCAGTTGAAACAAAGAAACCTGTCAGTCTCAGATGCTCGGCGGGGTCCTGAAAAGCTTCAGTCAACTTAGATCCGGGCCCAAGTCCTTTGCCTTTGGGGAGCTGAGACTCCGGTTTGTCTTGGGGCTAGACTCCTGGGCTGACGTGTATCACGAGTTCAGAATCTCGAGGGCCTGGGCCCGCTGGGCATCCGGGCGAAAGCAAAGGTCGCAGCCATGCCCCGCCCTGCAGAGCAAGAAAGTCTTCACACGGCCCAGACCTGGCCACTGCCTTTCATAGAATGCCCTGCCTTTTGGCGAGGAGGAAGGGGAGGATCGACCCTGCCATGTTGCCCAAGGCAAGCAAACTGCAACTAAATTACCAAACCAAAGCTACGAGTGCCTGTATCGAGCGAGTGCCAGGCTGCGGCTTGAGTCTGACAGTTTCAGAGCGTGGGAGATGCCTCCTCGAGGTGGCGTGGTCGCAGCGGCCTCAGCAAGTCGACATGGGGAGCGGCCAGACTAAAAAGTCAGCCAAACTCTCTGCAACCACAGCGGTCTGTGGCAACGGCAATCTGGCCAATGCTGGGCATCCCGAGAAACTACTCTTTCGCCTGCAGAACGAAGCGCTGGAGACGGCAGACGGGCTTCCCCCATCTGTTGGAGACATTGTGTTATTATCAAGCGGGGCCAATGCCTCAGTGTCATGGCCATCAGCACAAGCGTTGCATGTCTTTGCTAGCTGCTAGCGCCAATACAGTACGAAATACGATCGCTGGAAGTAAACGTTGAGCAAAATATGCGGCTTTGCTACATGATGTTCTTGCTTGTTCTTCTGTCCACACCTTCCGGCCCGTTGTGAGCCCCTCACAGTCATGTTTGAGCAGCGCGAGAAGAAGCAGCATTTCCGGTGAGTTCCAGGCCATAACTGACGGTCCTTGCCTGCATACGACTTCTTCGAACGTTTGCGCGCAGGTGGATGCAGACATGAGGAGATAGATGGAGGTTGGGGGCACGATAGTAGTAGCCTCACGGTTGTCCCCCGGCAGAGACTTGCCATCTGTCCCTCGGCTCCATCTGGGAAAGCAAATTGCTGAGATGTCTTTTCGAGGCGCGACACGAGGGTTCTGTTGCAAGCGTCGAGCTCAGCAAGCGTCTCCATTAGGAGCTGCAGCTGATCCCACGAAGTTTTACACGGCTGTTGGTTAAAGCCTCTACGCTGCACTTCCGAAGCATTGTCCAGCTTTGCTACTTTCCAAAGTCGGAAAGTCAGAACCACTCGAAGGAGGCACGCAGCTCGAGAAGCATGCACGCGTCGGAAGCTTCCGGCGACTCTAGCAGGCGGCCGATGGGATGCCCGGACCACTCCTCGATGTCCAGAAAAGGGATCTCCAGCTTGCCCACCAAGTAGTCTTGGAACCAGCCCTCGCGAAAGATGCTGACCTCAGCATAAAATGCTGCGCCGGCACTCGCTGGTTGTGGTAGCAGCTTAGCATCTGTTGACGGCCGAGATACCCCCAGCACTGTGTCCACTCTGTGCACTTGGTAGCTGAAGCTGCAGTCCCACACAGGGTTCTCCCCTGGAACTTTGGGCGACTGAAAGCTCTGGTCTCCGACCCGCCTGGGCTCGGGGGATGCTAGTGGGTAGCTCCGTAGCGCCATCTCGGCAGACGTTCAGACTCGCAGGACAAAGTGCAACTGAGGTGCACTTCTGCGAAGTTGAAGCCAGAGAGGAAGTACCTGAGTCTCGACAGAATCGAACTAGCTAAGCGATGCAAGCTGGAGTTACGAGCGAGAGCATGTGCTGCGTAGCGTCTCTGGGGTGGGAAGATCACGTGCACGTAGCAGCTGGACTTTGAGCGTGCCAATAGGGGCCGCTGGCTGCTCCGCATCCTCCTGTGCGGCGGGAGTGGTGTCGACAACAGTGGAATATGTTGCAGGAGAGGCCTGTCTGCCCAGTAAGCTCTTGGAGAGAGCACATGTGTTCGCAAAGATCCCCGCAACAGGAAGCTCGTTCGAGGAGGAGCGCGTCAGGATCCTCAGTCGCGGTTTCACTCCTTTGCAGTTTCACACCCCGTTGCCGTAGATCCCTCGCAAACCTCCACGCTTAAGGCTGTGCAGCTCGAGCACTGCGAGCACTGGCTGTTGTTGCACTTCGCCTCGAAAGCCAACCTCGGAAGACAAAAAGAAACGCGTGGCCTGTCAGAACGTACTGGTAGGTCGAGAGCACAGGGAGCGGGGGCCCAAGAATGGCAAGGAGCTGCTTCGCCTGGAGCATCGCCTCCAAGCGTTGCTTCTCCATTTCTGCCCTGCGGACTCTCTCCTCCTCCTCCTTCTCGATCAAGGCCTCAAGGAGAGGGCTCGAGCTCTTCAATGGCTCGCAGACCTCTAAGAGATTGTGTTGTCTTTGGGGCCCCGGGCCATCTGCGCCCGCCGCTCCTCCTCCTGCTTCCTACGGCGCTCTTCCTCCTCGGAAAGTCACGGAAGGTCACACTCTCTCAGAGCTCTGTGCCCACGGTCTCGGTCCGTCCGTCTCTCCTTCTTCAGCTCCTCCTCCTCTCGCCTTGTGCGCTGGTGGACGGACTCCCCCTGGCGGGTGTAGGCCCGCATCAGCTTCTGATGGCAGACCTCCAGGAATTTGAAGGTCTTCTCCGCCTGGCACCAAAGACAAGAAGCGATAATAAGCAATATAGCTGTCTTTTATTCACCAAAGTCTCTTGAAGCCTCGAACACCCTTCCTTCGGCCTCAGGATGTCCGTTCTTGTCGGGGTGGAAGAGCAGTCGCTGTCGGTTCAGCTTTCCCTTCAAAGTCTGCATCACCGGCTCCGACGGATCCATGGATCTGCTACTTGTCGGTGCAGGCATATCGAAGAAGGCCCACATCTCGTCCAAGTTGATCCTGACACCCAAAGTCTAAAAGAAATCTCACAAAGCCTGTTGCTGTTCCGGATGCCCTCTTTGCTTCTTTGCGATCAAGCCACGGGTCCGTGCGCTCCACGTACGACCGCAGAGAGATAATCTTCTCCGCGGCCTTCTGGGCCTGGCAGTCACGAAGCTGCGAACCTCTGCTGTCACACAGAACCTGCCTGTTCTGGGCTCATGCGGGAACCCACCAGCTCCTTCGCCTGGCTCCTGGTGAGTACATGGCAAGGCACTGCAGGTCACACGTCGCAACCGTGGCTGCTGTCCTCGGGCTGAGCGGCTTTGGCTTCGGCTTCGGCTTCGGCTTTGGTGCTGGGGTCGCCGGGGTCGCCGGGGTCGCCGGGGGCGCGGGGGCCGGCGTGGTCGCTCCAGGGGCTTTGCCTCCAAGCGAGGGAAGAGAGAGACGGATAGAGACGGCAGACGACACGAAGAAATCTGGGCTTCGCGCCTGTCGGCTCATCGTTGGCCGGCTTCTCCGAGGCCCCTCTTGGGCAAATCAAGGCTGGGAGCACAGTGAGGATCCCGATCCTGCGAAGATCGCTTTGAGAGCCCAGCTCACGGCACATGCTGTCAAGTTACCAACAAGATGCCAAAAAGCCTTTTTCCTTACTGCGCAAGATTGCGCAAGTCGAGACGTCGAAGAGGCGAGATCAAGCACATGCGTGCTCGAGAAATGCTGCAGACAAGAGTCAGAAGGGCCAAGAAGTAGGCGGAAAGGTCCAAACCAGCAACGTCGTTCCACACCTGCAGTTAATTGTTGAAAGAGCACTGCCGCTTGATTCGACTTGACACTCATAAAGCACGAAGGATAGGCTTGGCATGGCTTGGCGTCCGTGGCCGTCCCCTCACTGCTTAGCTGACAGGGCACATCCTCAACGGATCCCAGGTGCCATGCATCCTCTGTAGAACCCAGGCTGAAAAGGATTCCTGCTCATGCTGCAATGCTCGGCTTAGTCAAAGTTGCCTCTACTCCATGTTACGTCTATTCGCAGTGTCAGAGCCTATCAGGCACACCACCAGGAGGAGGATTGCGCCGGAGGCCAGTCGAAAGCAACACTCCACTCCACACTGCGCCATGCTCCTGTGGATCAGTCAGTCAACGATGTTCCGAGTGACTTCAACTGCTAAATGCCTCGGTCGATATCCCGGGATATCCGGTGCATCGAGGGCATGGCGCGTAGGCACATGCTGGGACGGTGCTGCGCTTAAAGCTGCTGATGCTGAGGCAACCTCTCATGATGATGTTTATCCTTGGGTCCATTGAATGTCATGATGGAGTGCGGCTCGAGCTTCGCGACATCTCAGCATGTATCAGTCGCTATGAGCAAAACAAGCCCCGAACCTCAGCGTGCAAGATCAGCATATTATGCTGCACATGTGCCCTTAAATTTTCAAGTGCAAGGACCTGAAGCCTGGGTGCTTCAGAAGTTCTCATGACTGAGCAGTCATGAAAGGAGTGAAACGCATAACAGCCTGCGGGTAACTGGTTGTCACTGCCACTGGAGTCAGTAGTTTCACCCTCAAATTCCATGCTACGTTGACTTCGTGGCACTGAACGACCTCTCTTTGGCAAGCCTCTCACTGGCACGCCCTCGGAAGGGAATGCTATGGTACTGAGCACCTGATTGCCCGCTCACAGAATGTCAGTGGAACACTTTGACATGGTCCAGACACAGCGGAGGTGGGATGTAGCCACTGAGGTGCCGGCACAAGCCCCGTTCACATGTCAGCAGAGGACGTTTGGCTGGACAAGTCCTGGGAAGTCTATGCAGGAGCACACTGTCTCTGCAGAAGACAGCTCAAGTTGGACTTGCAACGTCCTCCAAAGGCGTATCAGACCTCGGAGCAGGAGAGCAAAGCATTCCTGAAACTTTCGCATCTAGTAAGCATGAACACAACGGATGCAATGGAAAGACGTCAACAACGACTTCCATCATCCGTACATCAGTGACAACATGTCGGATCTTGCGCTTAAATAACCTGGCCGTGTTGCATCCTGACTGCAGGACACTGAGATGCCTGCGATGTCGTGCCCAAGCTCAGGGCTCTGCGCGCCTCTCCCGAACGTCATCCCTCTCAACGACTACTTTCAACGGCAGTACAAATCGCACCGATCGCTTCTCGATCTTTCCAATTTGCACTTCCGGAGCTCGTCTCTTACGTCATTTGCTCTCCTTGCTCTCATGAATTCGGCCAAGCTTCCGGAGCAGGCGCAGCAGTCCCCTGCGCCTCAAAAAAGCGTACGTAAAACCCCCAGCATGTCAGGACAAGCAGCGTATAAGCGCCTGCTGCAAGAAAGCAGCACTTTGTGTCAGGTACGTCTGCATCGCGCCGTTCTCCTGCCTCAAACGCTGGAGCCTCAGAAGCACAGGCATGGCAATCAATGAGCTGTGAAGAAACGACTTGGTACTTCTCTATGTACCAGTTGCCATGGCATGCGGACGAAGCGTTTTCCGAAGTGGAGGCTGTTGACGAGTGATCTTTCACTTGTAAATGATCTACTACATAGCATAGACAATCCTCTGCATTGCACTTTGCCGTGCCGCACAGCACCAAGACTCGGCGTAATATGCGCACCTTTTCTACCTTTCTGAAGGTACGCTTGGCTGAGAACCAAGTCTACTAATTACCAAGTATGATGTGTTCGGCGGAGCGCCGTAGAGGACTCAGGACGCGAGTAATTTTGTCTGACCAGACGACCAGGGCCAATCTTGCTTCCCTCCCCCAAGCGCATCCCGCATCCGTTTCTGAATGGTGGCAACTACTGAATAAGGGCTTGGCTGCGACCGAACTTCGAATCCAAAGCCACCTGCAGCCACAGCACCCTATGCATGAGTTGGATTTCCAATACGGCGTGCCTGTCGGCCGACCACCTGCCCTGCAGGGAGTTGCCTCAGAATCTTGTCATTGCCTTGTGGATCCGAACATTCGCCCGAAGCTTGTGCTTGATGTGCTTGTAAGAGTTGCGCAGGAAGTCTCTTCTTGGACAGGGGTCCTGCTACGCCAGCCTCACCGGGAGCAGGCTTGTGACTCGTGGCGTGAGGCGAGCATGTGCTGATCCACCGACAACCTGTATGTAGACTGAACATGGCAGTGCGTCTAAATCATGGCAGTTGAGGCCTTGAGCATTTCCGGCTCGCCTTGGCTCACCGATCAAAACAGAAGGATGACAGACACGAGATCAGATAACAAGAAAGCAGTGCCACCATGATGATGCCCGAGTTCAAGTCATGTCTTGCCAGGATTGACACGCCGCAAGATCAGACCCCAACACATTCTGAGCTTCCGACGCCGACCTGCCCTCACTGGATCAGGGAGCGCCTACAGTCAAGCATGTCCACGAAACGAGAGCACATGCGCGATCTCGGCTGGCGAGCAATTCAAGTTAACACCGAGCAGAATCGAGCACCCGCTTCCCTGTCCTCAGCCAGCGGGAAAGCCGCTGACCTTCAGCCGCACGAAGCTGAAAGGTGCCAGGCCGCAATGCATTCATACATCTGCGGTCACGCGACAGCGCCCGCGAGGAGTCTGGGGCTGGAGCTGGTCGCCGTGGTCACCTACTCCCGGCGCAAAGTGTGCCTGAGCACTTGCCGACACGTCGTCACCTGGCATAAGATGGGCCTAGGATCGAAGAAAGAGCCTGCGTCGTCACCTGTAGGTCCACATCCTTCAAGTGAAAATCTTCATCACAAGTCAGAGGAATCTTCCAAGGCCGATGCGGCCGAATGCCTCGGTCCTCGATACCCCGCAGGCGCAGTTGATTTTCGGTCTGGAGCAATTGCAGCCGCTGCTGCTCAACCAAGGAATGCCTCAGACTCTGAGCCGCGCGAGGCAACCGCGGTGTTTCGTGTTTTTCGCTACGCCGCTTCAGGGACCAGAGTCCCCGACATGGTCTTGAGGCGCTCCATCTCGGAGCCTTGAGCCGTTCGTTCTTCCTGCACCGGTCACTCCTAGGATGTCCTAGGAGACCTGGAAGCGAAAGCCGCCTGCAATTGGCCACGAAGAAGTTGCAGCTCTGCTCTCGCCTTGCGCAGATTCGCTTTCCCAATGCCCTCAAAGAGGGAATCGAAGGACCCGGTTCCACGCCACCTCTGCTGCTTGGTCATGTAACGCCCGAATCTCCTCGGAACGCCTGTCAATGTGTAAGACGATTGTCCGACGGTCTCGCGAAATTCCCGAAACCTCCCTGTCTGGCCTTTCAACCTCGTGCGCCATCAGGCCCATGCTTTGGAGGTCGCTCTCCAACTGTTCCTTCTCCTGCCCACCGCATGCTTCGGATTTTGCTGCAGGCTGAGGCTCGCCCTTTGCAGGCGAAAGCTGCCGAATCCCACTGCAAGTACCTGCGTGGCCCTGAAAGCTAAACCCTAAAGGCAAATGGTGCTGCACACGGCGAAGCGAAGGTGAAGGAGTGCGAACCCTCGATCCTCAACACTATGCAACCATGAGATGATGCTGCCGAGATGCCGATGATGAAGGTGATGATGATGTGCGAAAGATGGTGGAAAAAGCTGATGTTGAGACACAACAGAAGGGCCAGCTTGTTGATGTACTAAAAAAACCACGACATTGTCGCGCGGGAGTGTCCAACAGCAGGAAGTGCACCCTTTTTTTGCGTCTTATCAACTTGCAGAAGTACCGCTGGTAAAACTCGTAGTGCGAGGAGGCAATTAGACAGGCATGCCCTTTGCAACCAGAGGCTCAGTTTGCACTCTGCACAACATTATCAGCAGGGAAAGTATACATCCCTAAATACAGAACGAAAATTCGTGGAGTGCACTCTATACCAGAAGGTTCTCTGTAAGGGTAATGGTAGCACCACGATACCAGGAGGTTGCGATGATAATTTTAAGGGCGGTTCAGGGTTCAACTCAGACGAAGTTAAGTCGTGTAGTGGCCGCGGCCTCTTGGAAGCTCTTGCGGTCTGTTTCCAGCTTCAGCGCCTGGGCACCCGAGCCATGCCACGATGCCACCACCACTATAGGCCTTAGGGTGTGAACGAGGAGCCGACTTCCTGCGCGTGGAGCCGGCGTCTCTCCTCGAAGACCTCCAAGTCGTTCATGAGGCAACGTCCTTTGCAGAAGTATATAGTTGCAGCACCGTCTTAGCACCCACAAAACCTCGATTCCAGCGTTCAAAAGGCGGTCAAGTTATTTTGCCCATTCTCCGCATCACGGCAACAAGTCCGACCTGCAGCCGTTGAAGCTCCACGGTCAGCAAACCTATGAACTTAGCGTGCGGTGAGGATCGAAAAAGGGCATGAACTTTGTCTCGGTCTAGTAGCTGCTGCCAAGTACTTGTACGGAGAAGTCATGTCATCGAGCATGCATGCATGCTTGCACAGTCCTCGCAACGCATGCTTTGCAAGTCCTTTAAGTACTTGATCACGTCTTGCCACAATCACCTCCACCTCCTCCTCCTCCTCCTCCTCCTCCGCCTTCTCCCTATCTGCCTCCGAACTAGACATACCCGCCGCGACATTGTGGCATGAAAGCTGCCCTCACGCAAAGCCTTTCCCCACGACTTCTGCCTGCACAGGTGGCCGGAGTCAGAACCCTGCAGAACTGCCCCCAGCGCGTCTGCACAAGTTGAGCTTTTCAATGGAGGCACTGATGCCATTCACGGCGTCGTCTTGCGATGTAGGCGCCAGAGATGCCCCAGGCCTGTCACCCAGACATCTCCACCTCAGAGGACTTCAACAAAGCGTCGGGCACTCACCCGAAAACCAAAAAGCCGAGGTGCCATCTCCGAAGGTCAGGTTCGACACGTTGGTGTGGAAGATCACCTCACCCGCAGGCCCGCCAGATTTGCAAGTTGGGGGACTTGGAAACATGTCCCGGCCCGGCCTTTGCAACAACGTGGGGCTTTGGTGGCTTTGGATCAAGGATGCAGAGACCAGCAGGCATTGAGGACCAAATCAGCCCCTGGCCATCAATCTTGAAGCCATCGGAGACGCCTTTGCCCGGCATCTCGCCCAAATAATGTACAGGTACCGGGCTCGAGACAGAGTCTCGGCCTTGGCCGGATGGCTCTGTGCCTTCGCTCAAGACCATGACCGGCTTGAGCGGTAAAGCGTCGCTTACTTCAAAGGCCGTCCAGCTTGCTGTCTTCTTGTTGCTGTTTGCGACCCACAAAAGCTTGCCATCAGGCGAGAAAGCCAAGCCATTCGGACGGTCCAGGATGTCTGTTACCAGCTGGATCTCCTGCAGCATTCGGAAGAAGTACGGTGTCATGACGGTCCCATCGGGAGACATCGTTTGAGGGGAAGGCGGAACGACGAGATGATGAAGGATCCAGACTATTTCTAGCAGATCCTCCAGCTTGAGCTAGGGTTCGTAAACTTGCGTGCAGAAGCACGGCACGCTGCACGCCAATTAACAACAAGCACCTTTGCCAAAGTTTAAGGAGGCAGATAAGGTAGGACATCATTTGGGGCAACAAGACAGTCTTCGATAAAGAGACCAAGGATCTCCATCTTTCCAGCGGTACACACCTTTGTGGTTTGCGCCCTGGGCTTTTGCGCAGTCGTCAAGGTATGGCAGGTCACAGGGATTGTGGTCGTCGGGCTCGGAGCCCAGCGGAAGCCTTGGGCCGAAGGAATCTGCGGCCTTGAGGAGGAAACCGTAGATGGGATCCGTGAACCACACCTCAACAAGGATACTAGTACTGCTACGGCTCTCGCCAAGGTACTGTCGCTGCTAGATGCGCGCGCAGACACAAAATGCATGCAAGCAGCACTCTTCCCATCCGGCCCCACGATGACATCGTTTGGCGAGTTCAGTCTGGTCCCACGGAAGGCATCTGCCACAACCGTGAAGTTGTTTTCGCAAAACTTTGCTCCAGGGACGACGTCGGGGATGTCCACTTTGACAACACGGCGTGTCGCATGCTGGCACAGAAACAGAGCATCTCCTTCTAGGGCCATGCCATTGCTGCCCGGCTCGAATAGCAGCTCGTGGTCGCTTACATTCTGGCCATCGAAGCCTCCGGACTGCTCCATCCAAACAGTGACACCCTGTGGAGTCCAGCGGTAAACACGTGCATCAATGGTGTCGGAGAATAGCAAAGCAGCTTGCGAAGGCAGCCATGTCGGCCCTTCCGTCCAACGGAAGCCAGATGCGACGATGTCGACAGAGCGAGCCATCAGCACCCTATCGATGTCACCAACGTAAGCGACCTGCGATCGATGGCTTGCAGTCACTGAACTTTAACATCTTCCAAACTGCAGCTTTGCCCGGCCTTTTCGGGATCGAAGACACCCCATCGACTTCCGTCAGCCAGAAGGGTGCCAGATGGATCAGGTGCAAAAGCACTAGATTGCCCAAGCCCCATTGTCACATGCACCAATGGCAGCGCGCAGAAGCTGCGGACAAGAAACACTTCGAGCCACGGACCCAGGCAGGCAAAGGTCTCTCTATCTGTGTTCTATATCGTTTATATCTATATCTGTAACTACATACATATATATATATATATATATATACTTATATATATGGGGTAACACATATTCATGTTATATATGCATACACATATATGCAGCCCGAGGGAAGCGTGAAACCCAGGGCACCGAGGCCCCTGCGCTCGTTGGCCACCGTGGACTCCGTGTCCCGGATCCGGCGCGCCGCGCTCTGCCGGGCCACCTCGAGAGAGAATCTCTTTTTGCCCTGAGCTGCGCGGTGCCAGCACCGCACATGCCTCGATCTGCTGGTGCAAGGACTTCAGCCTCTCCGTCTCGGCTTTGAGGCGATGCTCCTTGCAAGAAGCTGACCATTACTCGGACGGACAAACGGACAAACCGCCTGCGCTGTCCTGCACGTCCAATTCCTCTCTTCTCGCGTTCAGCCTCGGTCCGGTCCGAGGCTGAACGCTGCTGCACTGCTCTTCGGAGCTGGGGAGTCTTGCAGAGTGAGGCAGCGGCTCGCTGTCCAAGCGGAGCTGCTGCTCCTGCAATGTCCTCCGCTCCTCTTCTACCTGCCCGGCACACCAGGCACGCTCAACCCTCCGAGAGAGAGCGCAGATCTTGAAGCTTCAACCGCTGCAGCTTCTTCAGCGTGGCAGCTGCCTGAGCCCAGGCGTGCTTCATCGCCTCCTTGTTGTTGCGGTCAGCCTGTGAGCGGCTCCCCTACGTCTGCACGAGACAGTCCCCACGGCAGGCTGCGTTCAGTGGTTTTATGCGTCAATAGTCTCATCTCTGCCTTCGTTTGCTGATAGAAACACGTTAATCACGGATACATGTATACTGTATACTTCACTCCGCCGAAGAGATCTGAACCTTCGAGCCGTAGTACTACAGCGGTCCTTTGGGAAGCTTAGCAAGGCCCAGGCTTCTCCCTGAAGCAGAAACACTTACAGGACTTTCGCACAAGACTGAAAGCCCCCACGTCCGTGCTTCTCTTTGCAACAACCATAGACTGAGACTCCAACATCGCGCACGCTTTGCTGCAGATCCAGCAGACGTTGATGCTCCGCCTGCTGCATTGCCACCCGCTTTCAGCACTTGGTCGTGTAGGAACTCGTCTGGTCCATGGGGCCTGAAGCCGCTCTCGGTCAGCAGCCATGGCGGAACTGTCGTCTTCCTGGCAAGGCTGTCTAGCAACAGCGTGAGAGCGGAGCGGCACTGTCATCACAACACGACTCCTGAGAAGACCTCAAGTTCGTCACCATCTCAGACCTCGGCATGAAGCGCTGCAACATGCTGCAACCGAGCGAAGCGTGGCAGCCGGATTCCCCGGATACTGTGGAAGTGGCAGTCTTCTTCGCTGCTCTTCTACCTCCTTGCCCTGGCGAGAGAGCTGCGCCTTGCGACAGGCACTGCTAGATGCCTCACCATCTTACAACTTACATCGCACCCAGCAAAAGAACTCATGTTCATGCGAGTTCTTGATGTCTCCGGGCTGCATAGTGAAAGCGGACGCGTGCCGAGGTCTCGTCGAAGGATGAAAGCGTTCATATCAGCAAGCAATGCTCCCTCTTCGGCCCCATCACGGCCTCCAACTCACGTGCGTTCTTCTCTCTTGCCTCCAGCTGCCTCTCGCGAACCGACCTGGCCGAAACCAACACCGACAGATCTGCACATGCTTTCTGAGCTTTGCTGTATGACTGTATGACTAACTTGCTATGCACGCCGTTCAATATTGCTCAAGACGTGGCAGCTTGACCACTCCAAGGTTTTGTCGGAATCCACACGTTTGCCTGCGTCGGCAGCTGTTTTGGCGGTCTGTGTTGCCACTGATCTGGTAAGCTCTGGACTGAGTCGCTCTACTTCGGCCACGGAGCCCTGCACCTGGCAAGGCCCCAACGCTGCAGAATTGCCGCATACGGCATATGCCGCCGAAGAGAGAGCATTCCACTCCACGCCCCCACGCCCCACGCGTTCGCACATTCGCGGCCTGCTCCACGAGCTTCGTGAGGTGGTGCTCTCCGGCATGGGCCCGGCGGAGGCTCTCTGCCTACGTGCGCTCTTCATCGGGCACGCGCGCGCACGACAATGCCCGCCACTGGAAGGCCTCGACGTCGGACTGTTGCTTCAGGATGGAGACGGAGCGCTCGTGCTTCCGCTTCTGCTCCTTGCGGTGTTCTTTACATCACCACAACAATATGAACTCATCGCCTTGGCTTTCAAGGCCTCCATCTCCAGTCGGCAGTCGGCTTTCACCTTCGAGAATTGCGAGCATCTTGCAACCCCTGCAGTCCAAAGTGAGACCCGTGCCTTGTCGACGTCAGCCTGCGCCTCGGCAGCGCATGAAGTGCAATCTGCAAAACGAGAACATCGAGATCAGCTCGCAAAGACAGGTGAAGTCAGAGCGACCTTGCAGGCTTGGGGTTCCAGACCAAATGATCCCATCCAACACAATGTTCTAACCGGTACGAGTAGGGCTGTGGCGGCCAGTCTTAGAGCTTTTGAGACCACGAGTCACGACACGACGAGTTGCGTCACAGCTTGGAAAACGTCTGTGCTCTCGAACCCGGAAACCCTAAACCGCAAACACAGCAGATGCAGCAAGCTTCCTCCCTTTGGTTCAGGATTCAACTTGCCTTCCGTCGTTCTTCGCGCTTTGCATCTTCGACTTCCGTCGTATGACCTTCGGGTTAGATCAGCGGCCACAGCTCTTGCTGCGAAAACTCTGGGAGCTTTGCTTTGGACAAGAAGTCGCTTCTGCTCTTGAAAATGTCGCATCTCGCTGGCGTGCACCTCCTGGCACGGGCCACCACGGCGGGTGCTGTGCCCCGATGCTTTGCTTTGCTCCTTGCATCTGTCGAGCTCGGCTTCCAGGTATCGGCACTGCAACTCCATACCTAAGAAGAACACGACACGACTGCGACTGCGAGCACACAAGACGACACGTACCAGTAAGATGCAAGAGGAGGCTTCGAGGCTTCGAGCTCCCGAGCTCCCGGCGCGCGTGCCCGGCGTCCTCCTGGCGCTTCGCGTCCTCGAAGCGCCGCTGCCAGCGCTGCTCGCAGTCCTCGCGACAGAACCGAAGCGAAGCCAGCCGAAGCCATTCCAAGCGCCAAGCCTCGAGCTGCAGCTCGAGGTGCTTGACCTGCCCAACCAGACAAGATAGAGCAAGACTCACTAAACAAAAAAGCTGCTGCAACTCCGGCGGTTTTCGTCTCCTCGCCTTCGCCTTGGCCTGTGCCAGTTGCAGCAGCCTGGACCGCGTGGGCAACCGGTGGTTTACGAAGTGCAGAAGCTGAGTTCCCGACAGGTCGTGCGAAGGCGCACTGCCAAGCGGCGGGCCAGCCGGAAAGCTTGGGCCTCCCAATGCCTTGGCAAGATACGTTGACTTGCTTGGTCCAGCCTCAGCCTGATGTGCCTCGACTGAAGATTCTGGGCTGCATGCGCCAGGATCAATCGCGAAGGACAAATCCCTTTCGGAGGGTGGGGTGCTGATGCCGCCCTTGGGCGTTGGCCCTTCTGCCCTAAGTTGAGACACGAAGAGTGCTTTCATGCGCCATCCGAATCTTCTGTCTTTTTCGAAAAGAAGGCTAGGATGCGAGCATGTGAGGCAGAAGCACTGCACCAGCAGACGGCACAGGTGTCACACGTACCTGCCAAGGTGAGTGTTCTGCTGAGGTATTCATGTCGCCGCGGCCCGAGGCCTGATCTGCCTGCATGGCAACACCACGCGGCTCGTACCTCCACACCAGGCTCCCAGACTTCAAAAAACAGCCGGGGCTCCGCGACTCACTCCGAGCGTCGAGCGTTGTGTCAGCTGCGCCACGAGGCACCTCGGTGATCGAAGAAATCATCCGTTAGACTTCCTCGGTCGTTGAGATGGTAAGCATCTAGGAATCGAGGAAGTGAAACTCAAGGGACATTGGATTAAGTTCTCATACAACTCTATTTTGGAATCGTCTTGTTTAGCATCTGCCGGACCAGTCTGAACTTTCGAGTGCATCGACTCTTTCGAACAAGGTATGCTCAATCCTACTTCTTGTTGTGAACCCAGTCCAGCCTGAACCTCCGTCAAACATCTGCGAAACTCAGCTTGGGACAGGCTGGGATTGCGTCGCCTGCGCAGAATGAAGACGGCCCTGACGGTGCAGCTTCACATCTGGCTTAGCTCTTGACTGCCTTTCAATGTGCAGGTGTCTGGCAACTATCATAAGAACACAAATAAGCGATGCAGCGCCTCTGTAAACGATCAAGCTCGAATTTTTCAAACGGCCTGCAGATTGGCAGCGGTCGCAGCCTGTCAAAGCGGCTGCCAACGCAAGAAGCCAAAGCATCCGTCTCAGGTCACCCCCCCAAAACCTCCATGATTTGTTTTCTACCTCGTCTTTCTGACTCCTGCCGTGTGCCAGCCTCACAAACTGTTCAGCTCAAGTGAAACGAAGTCGACAAAGGAATCTACATCAATCTACTGTAGGGGCCTCGGAGCCGCTCCGCCCGGCCGCGACCCCGTTTGACGCTCTGTGTTCTGGAAGACCGACCGAGCAAAGAAAGCAAGCTGCAAAACCTTGTCGGATTTTCGCGGCTTGCTGCAAGCTCACGATGGCGCACGTTTGCCAGCAGAAGGCATATCATGTCGTCCTCTCTGTGTGTCTTTTGCATGTCCAAGCCGTGACAAATGCAATGAGTGTCTGCTGGAAGGCATCTCCTTGCAAGAATCATGTAAGAAAGCTAACTGTCGCTATTTCAGTTCGAAACTCCACCATACAGCGAGAGGAAACAAGAAAAAGCAAGGGCCACCCGCATACGTGGGAAAATCCATCACAAGGCCGCGAGAGATGTGCACGAATCAGAGAACGTCCGAGTCCAAAAGGGATATTGAGACAAGGAACTGCAGCTACCACCTGAGCCTTGTACCCAATGCCCCAACTTGACTTCCGAATAACATTGCAGACTCATTCAACAAACCTCCGCTTCCTCTCGGTAACTGGACACATGCAAGGTCCAGGCCTTGGCCACAGCGACGGATTCGCCAGCACGCTGGGCCTGCAAAGCGGGACGACATGCGGTAAGGCTGTCGAGAGAAATGTTGCAATGTCCCCTCGAATTGCGCGTTTCCGGTCAATTTAATAGATGCAGGGAAGGTGGGCCCAGCCGATGCATGACAATGAGTAGAGTCACTCCTGGCAATCCAAGGTCGACACCCCTCCTACCAGTAAGAAGACCTTACAGACGCCTCAGCTACAAAACCCCCGTCGACCTGGATCGCCGAGCCAGTGCTTGGCGGTACCTGAGCAAATTCTTTGCGCCAGCTTTCTCATGTGCCACCCTGAGTGTGTAAGCTGCACGCCCGCCGGCTGCCCGCAGAGCTCGGAGGACTCTTTGCGGGCCTCCATGCTTCTACAATGCAAGCCATCCAACGAGCAGGCCAAAAAAACCACGCAGGTCTCAGACTCGAACGTGGCACTTCGGCCGGGCACGCTGTTGCCACTTGCAGCGCTTCCTCGCAGAAGCACCGAGATGCATGCTCGCTGCGCATCGCTGATCAGAGGAATGCATCGAGCAGCACCTGCCCGAACGCTGCCAGCCCCACGTGGCTGAGGGACCTGGCACGTGCCCGCGACGCAGGCTTGAGCGGTACCAGTAGTAACTTTTCAGAGGCCACGCAACATGATATGTCGCGAAGTCCGAAATCGTGAGATGGGATTGCGTTAGGATTCTAGGCTAGGGAAATGGCCGGCAAACTCGCGTCGCCTCGAAGCTGCTTCCTTCTCCTTCGCGCCTTGGCAAACTCGATGGGAACTCTTTCGCAACTTTGCAAGTTTGCTGGGCCCCTTGCTGGTCGGAAATTCCAAGATCGGGAAGGCCAAGCCTAAAAGATCGACAGAGATTGCCAACTTTGATGGTGCTCGATCTGTAGACCAAGTTATCGTTGCTGCTACCGCTAGCAATGCTGCTCCTATCGACGGCGCAAGACGATGCGGCCTTTGGGATTCGCGAACCCGATTCGAGCACTGGAACGAGGAGTCGCGCGCCGGGGCCCTGGACTCGCGCATGGGTTGTTCGCAAACTGCACGATTCAAGCCCGCATGCGCAGGATTGGTGAACCGTAGATTCTGCCAATAGAAGCGCCGCCTTCGGGCACCACGCATTCGTGCACTGACCGACGCTATTTGTGCACGGGCGCGTTTCGGCTTGAGGGCTTTAGGGTTTGCGGTTTAGGGTCCATGTCGGGTTCAGGATCTTGGGGTTTAAAGGTTTGGGCTTTGGGTATCAGAATGAAAGGAGAGTCTTGTCTATTTTCGGATTTCGGTTGCTAGTTCTGGGGTTCTTTGTGCTGTTTTTTGAAACCTTTCTTCCGTTGGCTCAAACGAGACCCTGTCGAGACTGGGACCCCATGCTCCTCCCTACAAAACTTTCCCAGTCTCGCTTCCCATCGGTCATCATCGGTCCCTGCTCCTTCGGAACCCATGTGACCGAATCCAAACTAGCCCAACCTCCAGAGCTTGTGTGGACAGGGCAAGTCCGAACAGGAGGACAGAGGACTGCAAAAAGTGTTCTGTGCGACATGACAAACCAGCATCGATAAGGTGGGACACACTCACACATGTACTTGCCATGTCCACGACACAGCCTACGGTTCAGAGTTTAAGGGCATGGCTTTAGTATTTAGTGCTGTCAGGACGTGCAGTATCTCAACAGCAGACCTGGCCTCTTAAACGCCTCCGCATCCTTAAATAACTAGCGACCCTTCGAAGCTCCTTATGTCCTGACAGGCGGGAAAGCAGGCTGATTTAACTTCGTGGTTGCTATGGGTGGATGTAGCGTGGTTTTGGGAGCCCCAAGTCTAGAATGCTGTGGCTGCTCAACTACATTGGTTTGTTGTGTTTGGTCTTTCGGCCTTTGGGTTCAGGGTTTGGGGAGAACCGTCCGTCTAGAACTCTAAAGACTCGGCTCTCTTTGCCTGCTGATGCCCAAACCTTAAATCACCAAACCCTAACATCCTAAACCTAAACCGCAAGGACCTAACCCTAGACCCTGCAAGCCTAAACCCTAAAATCATGAGGCCCTTAACCCCGAAACCCTCGAGGCTTTGCTGCGCTTGTGCGGTGACCCCGAGAACCTGCCGCCAATCCCGACATAGTAAGCCTTAAGCCCCAAGACCACAAACGCACCTCAACCCTTGAATCGCGCTTGCATGACTCGTTTATAGATTACATGGCACCAGCGGCTAAATTGAATTTCGCAACAACCATGGCAACAACTGAGTCTGAACCCGCGAGCGCTGCATTCTGGGGTGCTGGCTCATCGGCATCGAAACCCAGGTCGAGCCCCATATCGAGAGGAGCCTCGCATTAGAGAAAAACGCAACGCTCGGCGCGAGTCCTGCCCTCGTGCCCCAGCCGCAATCTGTCTGTTGACATGCACCCCCGCATACCCCTGCCGCCAGCCGCTAGCCTTTTCGTGCCGCTGTAATCGCAGAGTCAACATGCGTGAGTCGTCCAGCGAAATGCAGTCGTCCGAGCACAAAACTTTGCCGATCCACCCACTTGATGCCACTTGCTTCCCGAAGCGAGATGAATTACGCATTAAGAACTCCTCAGCTGCCTCACAACGGTTGCAGTCCAGAGCACACCCTCCCCAAAAGGAGATCGATGATTGTTTCTCCAGCACTCACCAACAATACATACAGCTTGGCATGTGTAGCCTACTGCTCATCATCGCATCTGACTAAACGGTACCGCGTTCAGTGTGGCGTTGGCGGCTGGCAGTGGCGAGAACCGTTCCCTGCACTGAGACTGCAGATCCTTCCTGACTGCTTTCCTGCAATTCTCTCGGGAGGATCACTGCCGGTGGGCTCCCTTCCCCGTCCCTGGATCTTGAGACATGTCGAAACTTTTCAAAGACTAGGCAAGTCCTCCAGGCCTTGGCCACGTTGGTCGACTCGCCCGTGCGCGTCTGCAAGGCGGCAAGGCGTCGTGAAGTCTCACAGCGGTAAAGCAAAACCGTCAGAACTGGAAGACCTGGATCGCCGAGCCAGTGCTTGGCGGTACCTGAGCAAATTCTTTGCGCCAGCTTTCTCATGTGCCACCGCTGAGTGTGTAAGCTGCACGCCCGCCGGCTGCCCGCAGAGCTCGGAGGACTCTTTGCGGGCCTCCATGCTTCTACAATGCAAGCCATCCAACGAGCAGGCCAAAAAAACCACGCAGGTCTCAGACTCGAACGTGGCACTTTGGCCGGGCACGCTGTTGCCACTTGCAGCGCTTCCTCGCAGAAGCACCGAGATGCATGCTCGCTGCGCATCGCTGATCAGAGGAATGCATCGAGCAGCACCTGCCCGAACGCTGCCAGCCCCACGTGGCTGAGGGACCTGGCACGTGCCCGCGACGCAGGCTTGAGCGGCAGTAACTTTTCAGAGGCCATCATGTCGCGAAGTCCGAAATCGTGAGATGCCCAATGCCGGGTGTAGGTCGGCCTGGGGTCTCCCTGGGTCTGCGGTAGATTGCGTTAGGATTCTAGGCTAGGGAAGTGGCCGGCAAACTCGCGTCGCCTCGAAGCTGCTTCCTTCTCCTTCGCGCCTTGGCAAACTCGATGGGAATCTTTCGCAACTTTGCAAGTTTGCTGGGCCCCATGCTGGTCGGAAATTCCAAGATCGGGAAGGCCAAGCCTAAAAGATCGACAAGGCTGACGTTCTGCTGGACCAACATTTTTGACGGTAGTCGATTAGGCTACAGCTGCATTGCTGAAGGGCTACTACTGCTACTCCCCACACGGTGCGGCCTTCGAGGCACATGGCAGCAGAGGCGAAACTGCATATTTGGCTGCTTGGCTTCAGGCAAAGCGCGAAGCCCACCCAAACAAGCAAGAGGAACGGGAGGGGATAAGGACCCAACAAAAGCGCCTGCACGCCTTCACGATGATGCTATTGTCTCCATTCAGTGATTCAGCAAGTGCTTGACATACAACAACAACGGTGTTCTTCCTCTGGCACGGAGCATTGCTCCTTCTCAATGCTCGCTCATCGTCATAGTCATAGTCCCTATCTCTGCCATCGTTCACTTCTGTGAACCCATGGCAGCATCTGAATCTCAACCCGGGAGTGCTGCAAGATGCTGCAAGTGCAAGCTGCACTTGCCTTCTGGGGTGCTGGCTCATCGGCATCGAAACCCAGGTCGAGCCCCATATCGAGAGGAGCCTCGCGTTAGAGAAAAACGCAACGCTCGGCGCGAGTCCTGCCCTCGTGCCCCAGCCGCAGTCTGTCTGTTGACATGCACCCCCGCATACCCCTGCCGCCAGCCGCTAGCCTTTTCGTGCCGCTGTAATCGCAGAGTCAACATGCGTGAGTCGTCCAGCGAAATGCAGTCGTCCGAGCACAAAACTTTGCCGATCCACCCACTTGATGCCACTTGCTTCCCGAAGCGAGATGAATTACGCATTAAGAACTCCTCAGCTGCCTCACAACGGTTGCAGTCCAGAGCACACCCTCCCCAAAAGGAGATCGATGATTGTTTCTTCAGCACTCACCAACAATACATACAGCTTGGCATGTGTAGCCTACTGCTCATCATCACATCTGACGAAACGGTACTGTCTCGATTCAATTGCCTCACAGTGGCACCTAGCTTTCCCTTTCGGCACCGTTCCTCCATTCCGCAACACTTCACTTCTAAGCCGTTTCAACCGCGAGATCTACTGCCTTTGAAATTTGGGCGACACCGTCAGAGCAGAGCAGTGTTGATCCCAGTACTTCGTGGATGCGGCGTTCAGTGTGGCGTTGGCGGCTGGCAGTGGCGAGAACCGTTCCCTGCACTGAGACTGCAGATCCTTCCTGACTGCTTTCCTGCAATTCTCTCCAAAAGATCACTGCCGGTGGGCTCCCTTCCCCGTCCCTGGATCTTGAGACATGTCGAAACTTTTCAAAGACTAGGCAAGTCCTCCAGGCCTTGGCCACGTTGGTCGACTCGCCCGTGCGCGTCTGCAAGGCGGCAAGGCGTCGTGAAGTCTCACAGCGGTAAAGCAAAACCGTCAGAACTGGAAGACCTGGATCGCCGAGCCAGTGCTTGGCGGTACCTGAGCAAATTCTTTGCGCCAGCTTTCTCATGTGCCACCGCTGAGTGTGTAAGCTGCACGCCCGCCGGCTGCCCGCAGAGCTCGGAGGACTCTTTGCGGGCCTCCATGCTTCTACAATGCAAGCCATCCAACGAGCAGGCCAAAAAAACCACGCAGGTCTCAGACTCGAACGTGGCACTTCGGCCGGGCACGCTGTTGCCACTTGCAGCGCTTCCTCGCAGAAGCACCGAGATGCATGCTCGCTGCGCATCGCTGATCAGAGGAATGCATCGAGCAGCACCTGCCCGAACGCTGCCAGCCCCACGTGGCTGAGGGACCTGGCACATGCAGGCGACGCAGGCTTGAGCGGCAGTAACTTTTCAGAGGCCACGCAACATGATATGTCGCGAAGTCCGAAATCGTGAGATGCTCGCCGAGACAGGTCAGTCTATGTCTGCTGGATGCCGTTGTTACTAGAGTGAGTAGAGGGCGTCGTGGGGAGGGTTAGCACTGCAGATAACGGATCTGTGCTGAGCTTCCCTAAACCATCCTAAATGCAATCGATGCCTCGAAGCTGCTTCCTTCTCCTTCGCGCCTGAGCAAACCAACCGGAAACGTGCGAGGCCTGTCTCATGTAGCAGCCAGCATCTTAGATCAGATCTACTGATGTCTTGCAATCTGCAGCGCAGGCTGACCGAGGCCCAGTCTGGTCAGGAATGGGAAGCCTGGCAATCGACGGACAGCGGCTGGCACACTGTTCTGCATCCTGCTGAAAGCTATCGAAGACTGCATAGCCCTTCAAATCCCTAGAATCGTTGAAGCCACATGTTACAGGCCTAGACAACAAGGGTTCCCTTCAAGAGGGAAATCTGGCAAATACGTTCCCCTCAGAATAAACAGAAGCGGCAGCAGTTCTGTCTGGGCACAGATGCGGCACTGAACCCCTGTCGTCCGACCAGATGCACAAACTCCATATCATTTTGTGGTCTGCCGATCGCAAAACAAGATTGCTAGGCAAACCGCCAGACGGAGAGGCAGACAGGATGCACAAAAGCCCACACATTTTTCGATCACCATTACAGGCCAGTGTGCAACTCCAGAACAGCTTCTTTGAATCGAATTCCAGCATAGCAGACGGCTGATGCGTTTCATCGGAATCGAAGGACTGCCATTCGAAGCTAAACGTCGAGCCCTGGTCCGGGTGTCGAGGCGCTTTGAGTCCCTGGCTCCTCGGCATCCAGGCCCGGATCCACTGGAGCCTTCCACTTCCGCGAAAGATGGACAAACACAAAGATAAGCCAACGAACGGACGGATGAAAGTCTCTATCCCTTTAACTTGATGCAAGCAAGTATCAGGTCTCGACAATGGCCCTCTGTGCAACCGGGATAGCAGATGAGAATAGGCGAATAAGCGTTCGCGCCGTTGATCTGCTACAGTATCGGGATGGCTGATCAAGTTCCACCTCTGTGCCACCCGAAGGACAAAACTGCGACCGCAAGCCAGGAATTGAATAGGGAAACCAAGCCAAGCCGAACCGAGCCAAGCCCATCCATTGTCAGCGCTCTTGTAACCCCATCTCAGCAAAATCCACACCCAAAGCTCCGAGTTGAGCGCAGGGTTCCGAAACCTTCCGACATGGCGCACTGGTAAACGACGGATGATCGCCGTTTTTCACTGTATCAAAGACATTAGAAATGAATACCTACCCAAATACATGTGCATATATATATATATATATATATATATACATACAAAATACACACACACACACACATGTCTACAAATGTATATATATATATATATACATATACATGAGAACATGTGTACATGCATATATGTATGTGTGTACGTACGTACGTATGTATGAATGGATGCATCTACTTGTATGCATGTGTGTGTGTTTGTGTGCGTCTGTGTACGTGTATCTGTATCTGTATCTGTATGTGCATGCGTACGCACATGTGCATGTGTATGTGTATGTGTATGAGTCTGTATATGAGCATGAGTATGTGTATGTGTATGCGTACATACGGTGCATGTGAAGCTGGGTATACGTACATGTATGTGTGCATCCATTTCTGTGTGTGTGCGTTTACACGTATGCATAGATATACAGATGTGTTTATATATACACATACATCTATGTATACATGTATACATATATACATATATACCCATATGTATATATATATATACGTATATAGATACACCCATATAAACACATTGATATACAGATATCCGTATATACACAAATATACATATACAGTTGTACACAACATGTTAATGTGATACGTAGGTCTTTGGATTTAGATACCTGCAGCGCGTGTGTACGTCGGTCCATGTTCGTTCGAACATACGTGGACATTTGCTCCTGCTGCGAAAATCAACAAGTGCACACACATCACGCGAATCCGTTGCTGTGCTGCCCACTGGGAGCACTCACGCACAAGCTTTTTGAATGCTGACCACCCCACTGCACAATGAAAACTGCAGATCCGTGATCCTCTGCTATCCTACAGTCCTACAGCTCAACCCCAAGTCACCTCAACGGTGCCAACAGTTCGAACACAGCCGGCAGCGTAGCCTTTGCTCCCCCAAGTCGCCGCCGTGGCCGTGCCTGCAGCCTTGGATCAAGCAGAAGCACTGAAAATGATCGATCTCCCGCCTCGGGCGTGATGCAGAACAGATGTGAAGACAGCTTTGTCACGCTGGGACGTCCTGCGAAAGCTCCACTTCCAACGCTCGCCCGGCGGAGGTCGACTGGCAGGCAGGCATCATACTTAGATCCAACGACAGCGACCTCATAACGCGACGAAGCTGGTGTTGCAAAGGGAATGCCCGACGGCACTACAAGGGTGCAGCGCGCCTCTCCAGCACCAGACCTTCAGGCAATTTTGAATTCATCCCCAACCTCTCAGTTTCCCAAGCTCACAACTCTGGAAACTACCATTAGGATAGTCCTGCTTGTCGAACATGCTGTAAGCTACACTGTTCCGACAAGTACCTGAAGACTGAGAATCTCTTGCGCTTAGCCATGCGGCAGATTCTTACGTGCTTGCTCAGTCCCAGGGCCACACCCTTGGAAGCGGCCATCCGAAGCATAGCCGCTGCCTGTGCAGACAATCCTGCCTCTGCCTACGTTATCCCATCTGTCGTGCAGTACACTGCAGGCGAATGCTCCGGAACAGGCACTGCTGCTCGGCACGGCAACCAGCACTGCGACTGAAGGGCACCGAGTCCCTGCCTGACGGAGACCGGTCAAATCGATCCGGTGGGGAGCTAGGAGGTGGCTGTGAGCGCTGTCGTGGGGAGCCTGCACTCATCGCATATGCTATTGGGAGCCGGCAGCCACCATGCACGGATAGTGAATTTGCACCAAGCTACTAAACTCCGTCCCCTTGCAGCCCAGATGCCAAGAGTGAAGGTCCTGCCCGTGTCACCTGGCCTGGGCTTGGCTAACTGTACGAAATCAGCACAGCCGTGATGTCGCAGGTCAAAGCGAGAGCTCTCTACCAGCCAGCACTTGAAGTCTTCTACCGAGCTACAGAATTCATGTAGGCTTGCTGAGAAAAGCGCGGCGGCATGTCTGCCCGATCACGGGTGCCTGTGCGCCTTTGAGAGGTTGACCGTATCCGATTCAATGTTCTTGTGAGAGCAGAAACTGCTGCCACGGTGGTTGTTGGCTGCATCAGAAGCTCTTGGCCCCTGGCTGCACGGGTGTGCCGCTTGCCTCAAGCTGAGGATCAATCATCGGCATGCTGCCGCTACTTCTGCCCCTGCTGCTTTCTGCTCCTACTCCTGCTCGCAGTTCCACTCTCAGTCCTTCTGCTGCTGCAGACGACTACTAATTACGACTACTGCTACTACTACTGCTGCCGCTGCTACTACCACTGCTACCACTGCTACTACTACTGCTACTACTACCACGACTACGACTACCACGACGACTGCGACAGCGACTGCGACAACTACGGCTACGGCGATTCCGACCGACTACCACACTGACTACCACCACGACCACGACCACGACTTTGTGACTGCGACTTCTACAACTCCGACTACGACTACTACTGCTGCTACTACTACTACTACTACTACTAATGCGACGGCTGCTCTTTGCCCCTTGGGTGAATACAACCGAAGAACCTCGGGGACCCCAATCGCAGCCGTCTTCATCCTGGCCTGTCTGCGGCGTCCCAGACCTTCCTGCCAAGGTCGAAAAGAGCGGCTCAACACCACGAAGACTGCCCTTGCGTCAGCCTCTTCAGAGGTCAAGCCGCGACCCCGCCCGCTGTCAGGCCTGAATCTTCGCACTGAACGCTCGCAAACTGGCAGAGCTACAAGTAAACATTTGTGTCTGATGCCGATGCTGCTCTACATCCTGCCGCCATGCCTCCTCTGCTCGGCCTCCTCCTGAGGAGGAACACAAGAAAGATGTGCCAATGGTCATGGAAGTCCCGGAAGAACATTGAAACACATCGAGGGTCAGGCTCAGTGTGACGGGGAAGGGTTTGCGAAACTCTTCTAGCAAGGGGGCAGGGTCCGGCGGAAGGCTACGACGAGTCTGACCGGGGTGATCAAGGCCTTTTCACCCACGGCCAATCTGAGTGAATCCGAATCGGTCTACTGTGCCTACTTCTACAAGACCCTCTGTATGCTTCTTTCCGGTCTCCTCGAGCTCTGCTGTGTGATGGTCAAGGGCAGCTGTCGGAGCCGTCTGTGATCTTCGCAACGTCCGCCTTGCACTGGTAAGCTGCTCATCACCTCAGGATTCCCGCAACGTCGCGCTGGGCATGCAATTGCCTGCACAGACTGTCGAATGTTATCAAGGATCTCGGTCCTCATCGGCGAAAAATCGACCACCGCTGCTCCGCACAACTTGAAAGATGAACCCGAGAGAACTGACAAGAAGCCATTCCGTGTCGCTTCGCTGAATCGCTCAGGGTCTCGCCCAGTATGTCGCCGATCTCGCCGACGATATCCTCAGTGGAGTGTGATCCGTGTCTGGCCCGAAACCGACGAAAGCCTAAGCCAAAGTCCTTTATGGGAGTGGGGGCTTTGCGGACGGGAACTCGACAGCATGAAAAACTTCCACCCCTTCCCTGCTTCCCTTCTCACTTGAAGCAGTTCTTCTACTTCCGGACTTCCACTTGTCCACTTTGCGGAGCCAGGAAGCATCAAGGTCGTCGCCTGCGGGCTCAGCTGAAGCTGCCGGCTCCTGAGCTCTGCTCTGCTCTGCTCTGCTCTGCTCACCGCAAAAGTGGTAGCGACACGGTGGATATTTACAGAGAGTCTTAAGCGAACGCGCCCAGTAGACTCCGGGGAAGAACGACTGCATCAACAGCTTCACAGCAAACAAAATGACAGACACTGAAAATTCTAAGAAAGGTATACCGTATCATTAAGTTGGCCCCTGCCAGTCCCTGCAGGCCATAATTGGAATGAAGCTGGAGTCTCAAGAGTGGTGGGTTTCAGTTGCAACGCTACGTCTTCCAGGTCTTCCACATACTTTCAGACCTGATTCGCGATGACACAACCGCGCTGATCTTTCTCGACGCAGAGGCAGGACGAGATGTCATTGAGCCAAGATGAGCCAAGAATCTGGTGGCGCCGGCCGAGCTGGCATGCTGGAGGCCGCCCTGCCCACCAAACACCAAACCCGTTTCGTCGTTTGACACCCCCAAACTTTCGCAAGCAACTCGATTCTGAAAAGCACATCATTGATCCATCCACCACCTTTTGCTGATAAATTCCTCATCAAAGAGTTACATGCATCTTCTATGTAGAGTCTATGCAAAGAAGAAACGTTTCATCATGACACGTACACCACACTTTTGTCTTGCCCTCAAACCTGTTTTCAGGAGCTGCCGAACAAGGAGTGGTCTGTAATCTCGGCGGTTGAAACATGTTCACAAGGAATCTGATAAGAAAGTGTCAAGGTGGTGACCCGATAATTTACTGGTGCCACCTCACGGAACGGACAAAAGTCAAGTGAACTGTGGCAGAACAAGTCTACCCAAAACCATCCTTCAAAGCTGCGTCCAAACCTGCTCTAACCAATTGCACCGGATGACATCAAGTTCAACACTCACACTACGGTGTCCTACTCCATTTGGATCGGTTCTTGACTTTCAAGGCAACTTTGAAACAGAAGTGAAGCAGGCCCCCGTTCAGACACGCATACTGAGGTCTGCGCCCGGCAACAGCTCTTTCGAACTCTCCTAAACAAGGCCACATCATGACAATGCGACTGATACCTTGTGTCTTGGATAGCTACCTCATGGCCCTGGTGCAGTCCAGCCGCGCTCAAATTCCGAATCCGGCTCGTCATCCTCTGTGACGGGTGGCCGAGTTTGATCAACCAGTGCTTGGAGAGGGTCGACCCCCCCGCCTGACACCGCGGGAATGAAAAGAAGCAAACTCTCACAGTTTCTCGAACACCGGCCTAGTCGGAGCCCTTGCTGTCTCCGCTGCCGGGCTGGAGCTCCGAATTTCAGCTCTTTGCTGTCACCCAGCAGCTCGCCGATGCTTTCCTGGCAGCAGAAGCGAAGTCAAGCAACAACTACAACGGTCATCTGCGCGCGACGACAGTGTATGCTCTTCAGATCCAACACATCTCTTGCGGGGCGAGCAAGATATGCTCAGCAATCGATACATGATGTCCCATGCACACACTGCTACACGGCCTCTCTTTTTGCACTGCCGCCACCCACTCGCCCTAAATCGTCATCTTCATCGTCGGACAATCCTGAAATCTGCTGTTTCGATTCACAAAGACATCAAAACAATCCGAAATGTAAGACTCCAACCAAGGTCAAGATCCAGTGCTCCACGATGACTGCGCTTGTCTGGACGCGACATGGCTCCCAGACCACGAATGAAGATGTCGTCTTTGCTTTGGAATAGTTTGCTCAAAGCGACAACAACACGAAACATCATATAAATCCTCTGTACGTCTGCAACACCAAACATGCAAGGTTCGGGCAACATAGCAACAAACAAAAACACCCTGTGGGGTCACTGTGGGGTCCTTCCAAGCCAAACTTTATTGCTTCATAAAACGACCGATGGCGTTGAAAGACGAAAACAATACTGGGCACGACATTGCTTCAACATGCTTCAACGTCAGCACGTCTAAGGACACTTGCGGGTCTTGGATCTCCAGAAAACTCAGACTAAAGACCCAAGAAAACGCGGCAAGTTTCAAGCATGAACGGACAGCCGCAAAGCAAATACATCAAGATCAATGGCACGTAGGGATGTATGGCATGTCATATACCTGTGGCAAACATATATTTGCGTTTATGACCATATATGTTTACAAACTAAGTGCAAACATTGTTATGTGTGTATGCATGTATGCATGTACGTGTGTAACTGTGTAGAAACTGTTGGAAGTCGGTAGAAATGTACGAGAAACGCCTTGTATACTCTATGAAAAGTTGAAAATGTACATATATTTCTCTGTATACGTACATATGTATATGTATATACATGCACGCTAATTTTTCGACAACGTCTGTTTATATATGTAGATGTATATACATATATATATATATATATACAAATATATACCTTTGCGCCATTTGGTTCGTATATAGTGTTGATGATGAATGTACGTAAACATACTGTTGCTGCAGCATCCTGCAGCGAATCCTGCACCTGGCAAGAACACATGCCGCAATCTGATTTTTTGAACCGAAGATGTGTTCAAGACAAGCAGTGACTGGGTGCTACATTCTGGAGTTATCCAGCTGCATCTAGCTGACCAACTGGTAACATTGGACGGTACTCCTTGATCCGCGTCCAGATTTTTGCGATTCCGACAACGATCTCGAAAGTGGTTCCCCGCGAACAAATGCGGCCCCAACAAATGGGGCCGTTTTCTGAACCTGGAATTGTGCCAATATTAGATGGCTCCAAAAACGGGTCCGAATTCTGGACCCGTTTTTGGCCCCGCTCTTTACCCGGAACTTTGCCCTTTTATTGAATTCTCAATTTGCGCGGAGGTAGGGTTGCGTATTGGGCTCACTTTTTCTTGACACTCAAAAGAGGGCTGCGGTAAGACAGCAAGCACAGTTGGCTCAAACCCTCTGGTCTCTACACTGCAGCTACTTACCTAGGTTTCCTAGTGTAGCCTACAAAAATCTCGCACCCCCCTTAGAGGTAGGGGTTTGAGAAAGCACCTCCCGCGGGGCATCCCGCAGTCGGAGGGTGAGACGCCCCTTGTAGGGCGGAGCGTCCCGCACACAGGGCTGGCAGCCGAAAGGCTCGCCCTGCGGTGCTACCCGCTAGGGGCCCCTTAGGGTGGAGGCACCCACTGGCGGGAGTTGTTCACTGCACTGCCGGGCTTGGTGCTCCGGTGCCCGTTGCGGCAGTGGAGACACACCCTGTGTCTGATTGTTGCCCCTTCCATGAATGGGCAACCTCGCTGTTGGCCATGGTACCGGCGCACGACGCGGCCGGTGGCCACTTGAAAGGCGAACCCGGTCCAAAGGAACTCGGAGTCTGCCCATAGCCGCGGCAAGCCGCAGGCTAGGGCGAAGTCTTTCTCCGCAAGCTCTCGTAGACGGCCTCCCTTGCTGCTCGCGACACTCCCCGGATCTCCGCGTCTCCGCTGGAGGTGGCTGGGAGGCCGGGCTGTGTCTGGCAGCTTGTCTGGATGACTGCTCCCCCGAGACAGGCAACTATGTTGTCTGTGCTCCCTCTCGTTTCTGGGCACCCTGCCCAGTCGGAGTCGGAGTAGACCTCCAAGTTCAGACCGGCTGTGCTCTTGGACGCGGGGTCCAGCACAACCACTCTTCCAAACCGCGGGGTTGCCCGCAGGTATCGCGCGAGGGTTTCCGCAGCGAGCCAGTCGCAGACCCTGGGGTTCTGCATTCTTCGCGCCAGCTCTTTCACGGCGAACTGTATGTCTCGCCGTCCGCCGACAGGTAGATAGCACTACCCACGGCGCTGCGGAACCTCGCGGCGTCACCCGCAGAGAGCTCCTCGACCTTGGTCAGGTCTATAGAGGTCTGCTAGGCACGGTCCCCTTGTCTTTTGGACCGATGCCCAGCTGCTCGCACACATTCTCTGCGTGCTTGCTGTCGGGCAGCGTGAGGATAGAGTCCTCGGTGCGCACCTTGGTCCTGCCTAGGACCTCCACCGCTGTGCCCGGCTCCTCCAGTTCTCCCACCGCTATCTCACAGTGCGCCGGAAGGTCCACCTCCGTGAACTTCAGCACTGCGGCCTTGGGGCCTGCGACACGGATGTCGTCGATATGGTGGAGAAGGATCAGGCCGGACCCGCGGTCTAGAAACACGCACGGGTCCTTCACGCCTCGCTGGAAGTCGTAGTCCTTGCTTCATGAGCTTGCCAGTTAGGACCTCTTCCAGCTCGTCCCTGTAGACGGACCCAGCCGTTCTTCGGCCGTAGAGGTTGCCGTCCACACGGAACACGAAGTCCCGGAAGTGGTCTCGGTACCACTGCTGGTCCTTCGCAGGCTGCTCCAAGACCCATTGCTCAAAGAGCTCGCGCCACTCCACAGGCGCGTGCATGTAGACCGGGCGGCCTTCCGCCGCACCGCGGTCCTTCCCTATGAGGAAGGCGGCCACAATATCCAAAGACCTTGTGACCCACCCCTCGTTGTGTAGCGCTGCTACCTCCAACAGGGAATGACTCTCGGGCGTCGGCGTTGGGACGAAAACGTCCAAGCCAGCTTCCTGTTCTGGGCTGTAGCGGGCCTTGACGTCGGCACAGGTACACCTTGACTTGTACCGTCCTTTGTCGCACTTGTCGACCCACTTTGCCCTGAACAGCTGCGCCCCGCGCGGTACTTCAGACCGCAGCACAGGCGTGAAAGCGCCTCGGTCCCACAGCTTTCTTAGCTGCTCCTTGCGTGCCTGCTCGACCTGCTTGGGGTCGAGCATCCGGTCTAGCAGGTCTGTCACCTGCCCGACCGACGCGTCCCGCTCGCCTTGGGTGGTTCTTGGGCTCCACCCGGCTCTTAGCTGCAGGCGACTGCTGTGCTGCCGCTGCGCTCGCGGAGGAACCAGAGTCGCGCTTCTGCCCCCCTTCGCCTGAGCCGTCGTTGGCGGCTGGGGCGGGGCTTGCCGCTTGTTGCGGCAGCGCGCTTACTGCGGAAGGTGCTGCCTCCACGTCGGACGGCTCAGGGCTGGCGTCCGGGAGCCTGCTGGCCTGCTCGGCCCCTTCGACCAGGAGGGCCTCGTCGTCGGGCCGCGGCTCGTCGTTGAAGAGCCAGGGCTCACCGGGCGGTTCTAGCCGCTCCACTTCCTCGGCCGGCGTGGCCAGAGGGATTGGCACCATCATCGGCTCGCTGCGCTCTGCTGGCGCTGAGCGGCCAAATCTGGGGTTCCAAGGCAGGCCGCACGCTTTAAGGACGGCTGCCGTCTGGTGTCGGGTCTCCGGCGGAAGTCGCCTGACGCTCCTGACGTTGAGTGCGCCGGCTTCGGTTAGCACCACGTGTGAGTCGTCGCGCTCCAGCTTGCCGGCCCAGACCCCTTTGACCCAGCGCACTTGCGCTTTGTTCCCGGGCCTTGGGAGCTTCGCTAGACGGTTTCTCCAAAGGAGCAAAGTGCTCCACCATATGCCTGTGGCTGCCCGATATGGTGTCACCCCATCCGTTGACTTTGTCCCAAAACGGGCCTGCAGCCAGGCCACGTGCCTGACAAGCCACGGGAACAAGTTGGACGAAGTGTCCCACTCTAAGGCGGGGTAGTCCGCTCTTAGCTGCGAGAGCCAAGTGCGAACCTCACCTGCTAGGTGTGCGTTTCTTCCCTCTACGGATCCTTGGCTTTGGTGTGACCCGCGAGGGGCGTCCCGAAGACGCACCCTAGCAGCTCCAAGCCGGCGGTGGACCGCACGGGCCACAGAGGCTATAGCATTCTCTTGGTCAGCCTGCAGGGTGAACTTGTCGTACCCCAGGCGATCCACAAACTGCTCCACAAGCCCTGCGGCGTAGGCCGCGTGTCTGTGCCCTTTGTGCGCCACGGGAACCGACAGAGTCCAGCCAGTGGCCCTGTCTGTGAGGTTCAGCACCGTGGCAAGCGACGCTTCTTCCTCAACTTCTTTCCCGTCCCGGCTGTAGAACTGATAATCCATGGTGACAAGCGGCGTCACCGGATCATCTGAAGGCTCACGGCGGCGGTGTGGGTCCTCGCGCGCCTTTCCCTCCACGCACTTCTCGCACCACGCCTGGTAGGGCATGTGAGTGAGCTCGTGCTCAGCGCGTTCCTGCGCCGTGGGGTTGCGCGGTGCCCTTAGGCCGCGTGGCCTGGAGTCAGGCTGCTCGGCCTGCTCCTCTAGAGGGGCGGGGTTACCCGCAGCCTCCTCCTCTTCAGCAGCTTCGGCCTCTTCGTCGGCTGCTGCTTCCATCGCCGCGTCCTCTACCTCTCGAGCTTCGAGGTCGTGCTCCGGGATGTAGTCGTAGTGTCCCAGGTCCTTGCCTGGGCTCGGTGGCTCTGCCGCCACCGGTGCCACCCGGTTTGTTGACCCCGGCGGGAGCTCCCGCTCGTAGGGTAGGAGGAACTGTGACCCTCTCTTGAGGATCGAGGCTCGGACGTCGTCGGGCCACAAAATGTGGCTGTCCTCTCGGTGGAGCCAAATGCCCGCACCGGCCTCAACAGCACGGCTGATGCTGAGGATTTCGTCCTCGATGTCCTCGGTCACCTCAAAGTTGACCTTGCAGGACTGACGCTCCTCCCCTAAGAGGAGGCTCGGCTGGACACGGCCCTTTGTTTTCAGGCGGCTGTTGTCCACCGAGTAAAGGCTCTTTGGTGGGCCCGCGGGCTGCAGGTCGGGAAACGCCTCGGGCCTGCACACGGACACACACGCCCCGGAGTCCACGAGAAGACTCCCCGACACCTTGAGGATTTTGTCCTCTTCTGGATCGGTGTCGTGAGGCGGGGCAAACCGCACACCTAAGATGTGGTCGTCACGCACCTGGCGTACCTGGCCTTTGCCGCCAGAGCCGCCGGTGCTTCCCCCAGCTTGGGACGCGGAGGGACCCGCAGTCGCCAAGGAGGCTGTTGACAACGTCGTGGCCGCGTCGTCGGCCACTTGGGCCACCTGGCCCTTGTTGCCTTTGCCTTTTCCCTTGGCGTTAAACCAGCACTCCTTTACGGCTTTACGGTGTGTCCCGTTTTCCAGCAGATGGGGCATCTCTCTTTGCCGTCTCTGCCTCCTTGCTGGTTCCCCTTTTTGTCCCCTTTCTTGCCTTTGTGGTCCTTGTCCCCTTTCTTGCCTTTGTCGCCTTTGCCCTTCCCTTCTTTTCCGTCTCGGTCCCCTATTCTGCCAATGTCCATGGCGTTAGGGTCCCTTCGGGAAGAGGCGGCGTAGCCCGCACTCGGGGTCCAGACCCTTTTGGCTTGCAAGTAGCTCAGCACTACTTCCCTCACCTCGGCATAAGTCGAAAGACTCGCCGCGTGCATAGCGAGGTGTTGCCGAAGAGCGTTGGGGCTCTCGGTCACCAGCACTGCCCGCAGATCTTCGTCTGCTAGGGCGCGCCCTGCGCCATACTCGGAGGCGTAGCGGTCCACGTCTGCCTCCCATTCCTGCAAAGCTAAAGAGAAGTCGCTCTCCTTTGGCGGGAATTTCGGCATCAGCAGGGTCCGCCTCCAGGTGAGGTTCTTGGACTCGTTTTCTGGGTTGTGCTGGTACAGGAGACGCCAGAGCTCGAACCCATTCTGGCCCTTCACTCCGCGCGCCAGCTTTACAGCTGTGGCGGAGTCCTGGGTCCAGCTGCCGAAGAGGCGGACGCTAAGGGTCCGCACTTCCTCGGTCATGGCTGCCATTTGGAGTGGCACCTTGCACTTTCGAGCTATTTCCAGCTCGGCTGGATACCTGGTGTCTACGACCGCCAGGTAGGTCTCTGCTTGAAAGGCAAAGCGCTCCCAGTCGTCTCGCCCCTTAAGGGAAGTTGGGAGCCGCATGCTCTTGCCGTGGCGACTGCCGCCGTAGCGGCTGCTGCAGCTAGGCCCTGTTGTCTCTGGGCCGACAGCTCGCCAATCGCAGCCTCGACCACGGGGTCGCCCTGCGGAGGCGGATAAGCCGGTTGCTGGCTCATCTCTTGAAGCGTCGAAGATAGCCTGGCTGATCTCGTCCAGCAAGGTCAGGGCTTCTCCGCCCTGCTCCGCCAGCTCGGGTTTCCTTCCCAGGGGGCTCTCGGCCTGTTGCGCGCTGCGTGCCTCAGTCCGTTGAGGAACTGGCACGGCCCTTGGCCCTCGGAGGTTTTTTCGGACTCCTCTCCTTCTTCCTCACCGCTGGCTGGTGAGGTGGGCTCTTGCTCCTCCTCTGGAGCTTCCTCCCGAGGCGCGGGAGGTACCGCAGCCTCTGGCTGTGCGGCCTTAGGTTCCTCCCTGAGCGGAGGCGGTGGCCCAAGGCAAGGCGGCGGCGCCTTTACCGTTGGGGCCTTCGCTGCCTGGCTTCCCGCTCTCCTTCGGAGTCGCTTCCCCCGAAGTCTGGTGTGTCTTCTCCAGGCGCTGGGCCCGTGAAGACTGGCACCCTAACCGGTGCAGTGTCTTGGGCTCTGTACCTCCTGGCCGCGGCTCTGGGACATCAGTCCCCGGGCCCTCTACGAGGACGACCGGGTCTGTACCCTCTCTTTCGCGCGGCTCCCCGACCCGAGGCGGGGCGGCCCGCACTCGGGCCGGTTTTGCCTTTGCCCTTTTCCTGCTCGGCTGGTCTGCCCCGGCTTTGGTTCGGGGCTTCGGTGCGCTCGCCGATGAGAGGGCGGCGCAGTCGAGCTGGAGCTTCAGGGGCTCCGCTCCCCTTGGCACCTTGTGGTGCCTGGCTGGAAGAAGCCAATTGGGAGGTCCTCCAGTCCCACTGGGAACTCCAATCGGAGTCCCACCAGCCCCACCACTCGGACGTGGCGGGTGGCGGTTCGGCCCGCGCACCCAAGGAGCGTCGGGGCCTACCGAACCAGCTCCGCTACCATGCGCGGAGGTAGGGTTGCGTATTGGGCTCACTTTTTCTTGACACTCAAAAGAGGGCTGCGGTAAGACAGCTTAAGCACAGTTGGCTCAAACCCTCTGGTCTCTACACTGCAGCTACTTACCTAGGTTTCCTAGTGTAGCCTACAAAAATCTCGCACAACCTGGAGAAGCCGAGGCCTGGAATTTTAGTAGTTGTTTGAAACAACAGAAATTTCAGTCTTTTTCTTTAAAAAAGGTATTTCTGCGCAGAAAAAATCTTTTTCCCTGTCGTTCATTTCCAGCGTAACGCCGGTCGGCAAAAAACGCGTTTTGGTCGCGCAAAAGCGCGTTTAGGTCGGGAAGAAACGCGTTTTTAAATGCGTGAAAAATGCGCAAACAATTTTCACCTTGAGAAAATTGCAAAAACGTCTCTAGGCAACAATTTTAGGCTCTGCGCCGAAAAAACTGTTTTGGCCAAAACAACTGAAATTTCAGGCACCTGGGAAGGTCCAGGAATTCACAAAGAACTTCAAAGAACGGCCGCCAACAGGTGTTGTGAAAGTCACAACTTCTCCTCTTTCTTAAGCAGCCACAACAGCGACTACAACTTGAGCATCTTGATCTGCTGCAGATTCTGAGGCAAAAACAGCACCGATATGGTGTAGCTGAGCTAGGAAAATCAACAAACTAAAGAAGATCTCCCGGCACTCTGGAGGTCCCTTCACAACAGCCACCACAATCCTGACAATTTCTGGACTCAGAAGTGGGCTTGTTGGAAGCACTACAGAGTCTGAACCTCGCCGCCTGCTTCAGAAACTTCGGTTATGTCTTGGCCTGCTCCGAACGCAGTCATGACTACACGAGCCATGCAAAGCATTGCCAAGATCCGGCGTCGCAGAAAATCTGTAGGAAACCCATAGGAAACCCCAGAAAACCATCGGAAACCAGACCGGAAACCTTCAGAAACGCTTACGAAGGAACAGATTCACTTTTGAGAAGTACATCTATCTAGAATTCATGGGAAACCATGGCAGCCAACAAACATGTGGAAAACGCTGGAAAATCACAGGAAACCGCAGGAAACGTGTGGGAACCTCATAAGAACACAGGAAACCATTGAAACCAGACCGGAAACCATCAGAAACCGCACGAGGAACAGACTCACTTTTGAGGAGCACATCAAGAATTCATAGCAGACCACAACAAAGGTGTGGAAAACGCTCGGAAACCTGGACGAAACTGCAGCAAACCCATTGGGAAACCCATAGGAACCACAAGCCAGGAAAACATGGGAAACAGGCTGGAAACCATCGGAAACTTTACTCTTTCAGCATTTACAAGATAATGCAAGGGAAGAAGGTTCTGGACCGTCGACAGCTCAAATTTCATCATTCCAACCAATCGCAATAACTTCCATGTCCAATGAGCAAATAACTTCTGAATCTGTGTTTGGAGAGCACGTACGGCAAGATAAGAATGCTTTCATAATGCTGAGAAACCTAATTGAAGTTCTTGTGCAACTGAAGCCTCACAGAGTCCACGTTGCTGCATTGTCTGCGTCTCGACAAAATAGTCTTAATTGTCTTTTGTCCAAAGCAGGCAGAAATGCGCAGAGTTGCAAAGATTATGAACGCAGAACAACTGAGAGTGATTAGTGGTCAGTAAGCTTCTTCTGTCGCGTCTCTGGTGTTGAACTGTTGCTCCAGCAGCATGTTGAGCCAAGCTCTGCGTTTTTCTTGTAAATTCCCAGCACGGGTTTCCTAGTAGTCAAGTTTTCGATAATTTCCATTGCTCTGGTTTTGCAGCCTGGAGGTAGATTCTGAGGGTTCTCTGTGTTTGCTTGCTCTTGCAGTCAGCTCAGTTCCCGCAAAATGCTCGCATCAGCGTGCCAGCATTTCGCTGCAGCAAACTTAACAAGAGCATTACAATAGAAGGACCTCATGTGCATCAGAGGCAAGTCTATTAACGCCTTGGTCTTGATCCAAACTGCAGACAGTAGACGTGCTTTTTGCAGTCTTACTTCAAAGCAGCAAATCCAAGTGCAGCGCCTTCTGTGCGATGGAACTGGACACCTGCAGCCACTATTCTGAATATCTTCTTTCAGTTTGTCTTCTCTGAAGCATAATGCGAGCTGGAGAAACCATGGGAACATGTACAGCGTCTGGAAGCTCCACTTGCAGGAGCTTTTGTTTCTACAGAATTGCAGGAAGCTCGAAGAAGACTTGTACAAGAACAGAAACACTTGTCTTGAAATGGCAGCGGATGGCAAGTTTGCGAGAAATAACTCACATTTCACAGCATGTTGGCTTTCTTGGACGTTGATCCAGCATGCGGAAGGACAAGTTTAAAAAAAAGCAGCTCTAGTCCGGACCGCCATTTCTGGGGCCCAGTCATTCGGTTTTTCGTCCAGATGCCTCTGCGGAAACAGCTGGCCGTTGCGTGCAACCGTATATAAACCTCGCCAGCTCTGTTTTGGTGTTCCTTCAAAATTCAAAATGACAAAGGGAGCGCTCGGAAACATGTGAACCTTCAAACAGAATTCTCACACAGAGGCTTTCCAAGCATCCTAGGGAACAGCTTCGGGAATTGGCTCCGCAATTCGACCACTCTTGTGGCCTAAGTGTTGCAACGATGTCCGACGTGAAAGCACCTCCCTTATTGCAACAGGCCAGACGAGGAAGGACATTCATTTACGAAGGACGTTCTACACTCCTGCGGCAACTCCACTCTTTGAGGACTTTGTCCGCCCGTTTGGCCCGCCTGCGACAGGAGCGTCAGGATGCAGAGGTGTGGTATTGTCTGCGTGTCTACAAGATGTCTTGATTGTCCTTCGTCCAAAGCAGGTAGGCGCGCAGAGTCGCGAAGATCCTGAAAGCAGAGCAACTGAGAGTGGTCAGCGGTCAGTGAGCTTCGCTGTCGCCTCTCTGGTGTTGAGCAGTGACTAAGCTCTGCCAGCTTTTAGTACGTGAGTCAGTGAGTGTGAATGAGTGAGCTTTGCTGTGACGAACGGTTGCCTGCAGCGCGTAAACTCTTCTTCGGTGTCGGGTGAGCAGTGAGCTTCGCTCTTTCTTTTCCAAGGGAATGAATGTTTACGGCTTTGAGCCCGGCACTGATCAGCGGTGCGAGCCCTGCCGAAGCAGTGGGTGAGAGAGCCTTGCTGTGACGCGAACTGTTGCGTGAGCAGCTAGCAACTTTTTCGTTTTCGGTTGAGCGTGAGCTTTGCTGTGACCCGAACTGTTGCGTCAGTTACTAAGCTTTTCGGTTCAGCAGTGTGCAAGCCTTGTCTGAGGCAGGGCACGCATGTTTTACGAGCGTTGAGCCCGGCACTAAAAGCGATGACGCTGCGGAGTGGGGTTTGCCTTCTGGCAATGAGGTCTGCCATCTGAGCCAGTGCATGTATGAGCGTTGCCCAAACTGTTGCCTGAGCAGCTGGTAAACTTTTCGGCTAGTCAGTGACGAATTTGACGTAATCTCAGCCTTCTCTTTCTAAAGGCCACCAAAACGTGGTTGCGTTGCGGTGTAGGGTTTAGGATGAGTAAGTGAGCCTTGCTGTAGTCCATGTGGGCAGCCAAAACTCTTTGTTGACATCTAGCAGGTTTTTCCGAATGCACGAATGTGAGCCCGTCATATCATGCTCATTCGCAAGTGCTTCTGAAATGTTGAGCCTGTTGCAAGGTCGAAGCTGAGCGCCGTAGTCTTTTACGTAGAGCAACGCGCAGCATGGGAAATCTGGATCCGAAATTGTCCGCTAGCAGAAAGCTAGGACAGGCAGACTCTACTGATCCGCCGCAGTTTGATTCGAGATTGTATGCTGCAGGGTGTGAGGATACAGACGAGGGAACCTGAACGAGCCCAGCGGTGGCGGGCAAATGATTTCACCCTTAGGACAAAGCCGGTGGTATAATACTCAGCTGCCAACTGAGTTTGATTGACTCCGGCATGTCTGGGACCTTCCACCGTTCTAATAGTGTTATACTACCCAAAGGGTGTGTAAGTGGGTTCCCTTGGTTTTTGCAGCAGATGGGGTGGGTTCCCTGTGGGTTCCCTTGTTTTTTGCAACACTTCAGGTGGGCTACATATGGGTTCCTTTGTTTTTTGTAGCATTTCGGGTGGGTCTGTGTATGTTCTTCATTGATTCTTCACTTAGCTTTCTTGTAGATTGCCATGGTTTTTGCAGCATGGACGGTGGGTTCCCTGTGGGTTCCCTGGTTTTTGCAGCATTTTTAAGTGGGTTCCCATGGTTTTTAACAGTATCGACGGTGGGTTCCCTGTGGGTTCCCTTGTTTTTTGCAACACTTCAGGTGGGCTACATATGGGTTCCTTTGTTTTTTTGCAGCATTTCGGGTGGGTCTGTGTATGTTCTTCATTGATTCTTCACTTAGCTTTCTTGTAGATTGCCATGGTTTTTGGAGCATGGACGGTGGGTTCCCTGTGGGTTCCCTGGTTTTTGCAGCATATTTAAGTGGGTTCCCATGGTTTTTAACAGCATCGACGGTGGGGTCTGTTGGGTTCCCTGGTTTTTTGCAGCATTTGAAGTGGGTTCCCATGGCTTTCCAGTATACATCGCTCAAAGGTCTTGGCGGGCTCCCTTGGCTTTTGCAGCATGTCCGCTGGGTTCCCTGTGGGTTCCCTAGTTTTTTGCAGCATTTTAAATGGGTTCCACATGGTTTAACAGCATCGACGGTGGGTTCCCTGTGGGTTCCTTGCTTTTTGCAGCATTGCAAGTGGGCTATATTGCGCAAAGGTCTGGGCGGGCTCCCTTGGCTCTTGCAGTGTGTCAGCTCGGTTCCCTGTGGGGTACATGTGGGTTCCCATGGTTTCTCCAGCTCGCGCATTATGTTTCAGAGAAGAGTGGAACTGAAGAAGATGTTCAGGACAGTGGCTGCAGGTGTGGCCCAGTTCCATCGCACATATTGCGCTGCATTTGGATTTGCTGCTTTGAAGTAAGGCTGCAAAAAGCACGTCTGCTGTTTGCAGTTTGGGTCGAGACCAAAGACGTTAAATAGGCTCACCTCTGATGCACATGAGGCTCGCCGCCCTCCTATTGTAATGCTCTTGATAAGTTTGCTGCGGCTAAATGCTGGCATGCTGATGCGAGGATTTTGCGGCAGGTACTGGCAGATGTTACTCTCAGCTTGTAGCTTCAACTGTTTCGATTGCTTGCTGTACGTGCGCGGTGCTTTGCGCCTGGAAGCTCCACTTGCAGGAGCTCTTTTTTCCTACAGAATCGTAGGAAGCCTCGAAGGGCCTCCCCTGTTGGATGATGGTGTCGAGTGCTAATATTCTGCACTCGATGCACCTTCATCCTCTTCTTGGATTGCTTTAGAGGGCTTGGTCTGGCCGAATACCTTTAAACACTTGATTCTGCGGAGAAAAAGCGATGGCTGTTTCCGGATTGGCTTGTAATCATGTTTGCGCTTTCTTTTGAGTTTCTGTTTTTTTTCATTTTAGCGGCTGGTCTTTTTCCACCCTGAGATGTCTTTTTCCAGACCAAACGATCTTGTTTGCTTCTGTTCAACATCCACGGTCCAAAAAAAACCTTGATGTTTTTTTCGGCCCCAAGCCGAGGCCCGAAAAAGACAAGTTGGAGGCCGGAAAAAAAGATCCTTTGCCGTGTGTGTGTTTTCACTTTTATTTTTCATTCTTATCTTTGCTTTTGCCCACTAAAGCGATATCGTGTGGCTTCTCCTTCCATCGTGTTGGAAAACGTTTTTTGGATGTTTTTTCGATGACACACTTTGATTTCTTTCGTTCGCTTTCAGCCTCTAAAAGCGATTTCGTGCTTCTTCTTCTTTTTGTGTGTGTGTGTGCGTGAGAAGTTATCGTATGGTTAAGTCAGTTTGCGTTGCAAAAAATTAACATTGTGGCGCTCTTTGTTGTGTTGTTTCATGTGTCATGTGTGCGTGCTTCTATCTTTGTAGAGGTCAGAAAAAGACATTACCAGAAAAAGATCCACTGGGTCCCCAACTCACCATTGGTGGGAGGGGACGCCTGACCACATGTGTTCACACAATGCTTTATGATTTTACGTGTATGCAGATGCGTGAACCATTGCACATCGTCACAGACATGTATGAATTTTTATGCACACGCAGACACACATTCACATGTTTAATGTTTGAAATGCAAACAAGATTTCATGTGTCCATGCACCAGGAACTGCAGTGTGTTGGAGTCTAAAATGAAAATCTCAATTTGATACGTGTTTCAAGCTATTGAAACTGAAAACCACAAAACAGAAGCAGCAATTGAAAGGCAGCCGTTTGAAATCACGAAAAAATAGCACGGTTCGCAAAAGCACACTGCGACGGCGTGCTGTTCTCGCGTGGTATGATTTCTGTGAGGCTTTGAACCAGTTTATGTGGAGATGCAAGAAGACCTGCCAACGACATTTGGCCCCTCATCACGCCTTTCAGCGGCAGCAAGGTCAGGTTCAGATTTTGGAAATATAAGCAAAATTGGAAAACACAATGTTTGATTTGTTGCTGTCGTAGAGCACCAGCGTCGCAAAGCCTGGTGGTTTGTTGCTCAAAGAACCGGATGCTTGTCTATTTTTGACAGTTGCATGAGCAACCTGGAAAAGCATGAATTGAGATTTACGAATGCATTTTTCAGAGAACAGTGACTTGGGTTTGGAAAGGAATCAGTTCAGCTTCATGGTACAGGGACCTGCATGTGGCGGACGCTTGCCGAATATGTGTGAATTTTCATTCGTCGAAATGAATGATGATGGGGTTTGTTCAGCGAGCCGCAAATGCAGTTGTGCAGTTGTCCACAATCACGGGCAGCATTCTGAATAGTAGACAAGACGGTCCATGAAACAGTTTTCAGTATTGTTGGCATGGTCAGTTCAAACAAACTTGAGGAGCACCAGCAATGGCAAGCCAAAACAAGGCGATGCACCGGTGGTCAACATGGTTTCATTATCATGTCGTTCACGGAGCTGCAAAGCGCATCTTATGCCGGTTGCGTGGCTGCATAGTGGACAGCGTTATCGAAAATTCGTGCCGTCGTGTGTATGCTTGTGCGACCAAAGTGACAAGGTGATATTGTGACCGTGAGAGATCTTCTATCCCAACGTGCAGCCGTTCATGAGCGAGGGTCCGCAGGCAAGCATGGTCTGGATCCAATTTCTTCTTGCAAGCTGCAAAGAAAGGTTAGTTAAGGTCATGAATGCTTTTGCTTGGGCCAGGCAGCTGGACGGCTTTGCATTTGGCAGCCGCGCAAGGGCATCTCAGTTTCTTTGCTCAATTGATTCGCTTGGGACCCATTCTCGAAGGCTTGTGCGCTTGTCATGACACGTTTCCCAACTTTTGCGCGCAGATGTGGTGGAAGCGCTTCTTGCTGGCAATGCTTGGTGCCCAGTTAGTGGGTCAGCATGCATGACGAATTGACAGACCAACTCCAGACAACTGGCGAACCGCGAGACCGTGTGGTTGATTCACTCATACACTCGCAACGTCATGATGCACGCTTCGCCTTTGCAAGCCAAAGATGCTTCTTTATGCCTTGGAGAGCTTCAAGCCAACACCTACACAGGCCAAGCTTCCCACGAATTTGCAAACTGTTCGAGACTCGCCCGGCTTCAAAAGTCGCGGTGTTGCGGAAACAAAACCTTCTGTTTTTTCTGGAAGACAAACGTTCCAGATGTCCAAACAAGCCACGCTTCGGAATGTTTTGTCAACCGACGGCAGGGAACTCAGCAGTAGTGTCCAGTTGTTGTTGTCGACAACAACGATGCCAGAAGGATGTCAGCAGAAAGCCCGTAAATTATCACGGTTGCAAAGGCTGTGCACTGTCGTGTTGGCAATGTGCGTCTGTGTGTGTGTGTGTGTGTCTGCCGCCGCGGCTGCTGCTGCTGCTACTGCTGCTGCTGCTTCTGCTGCAATTGCTGCTGCATGTAGTTTCTTGTTTTGAACTGGTGTGGATTTTCGGTGTGATGAGAGAGTGATGCCGTGATTTTGCAGATTACATGTGTGAGCTGCTGGATTTGGAGGCAGTTTTTGTGTTGCGATCTTTCCGATCTGTTGTATCATTTTGCATTGGTTTCAGTGACGTGAAGGAGTTTTTGCAGCCTCCAGTGTTTCATTTAGGTGCCGATACCCGGACGGGTGAGGAAAACCTTCGAGGTGTTGTTGGTGCTCACAGGAATTCCGGTTCGGAACACAACGCGTTGGTTTGGCAAGCCGTGGATCTGTGAAATTTTTGCCGCAAGGCGGCAGTCGACCTATCCCGCAGGTTGCACACTGATTGACAGAAGGCAAAAAGAATCAAAAAGAACAACAGCTCCCGATTCGGAGCAGTCCAAGTTTGGCAACAGGCTTTGCGCCAGATGCATTTGCGTGTTGGAACGAAGTACTGCAAGAACCTGTTGTGTGTCATCCTGTCATCCGTCAAAGTCGCAAATATACATCGCACCGTCACGGCGAATTCAATTCAACGAACAACAGTGCTGTCCGCCTTCTCCGCGACACTGGCTTCCAATCTCTTGCCTTCGGCGACCTAGCCCCGCACTCCTCCGTTGTCCCTGCAGACCTTGACGAGCTTGTCGACACCACTCGAGGACCCGTGCTATCGACGATGGCCGCTTCCGTGCAACGCTTGATCCTCCCTCCCTTGCCTTGCTTGAGTCCCAGTTTGGGCCGTTTGCTTCGACGGGTTCCCACCGCCTTGCCTTCCAGCCACGAGCTCACCTTGGACCGGCCTGTTTTCCGTGCTTTGTTGCTCCGCCGGCTTCGCTGCCCTCGCCGCTCGACGCTGCAGCCTGTCGCTGCCGCCATCCTCTTGACCTCCTCGGTGACCGCGGGGCTGCTGGCCCCCGCTGTGGCATCTTGTGCTGCCGTGGCCTCCTGCTCGAGCCAGCTGCTGCCCGCGAAGACGGGGCTACTGCTGCGCGCGACGCTCTCCGCGTGGGCGACCTCAACATCCACCCCGAGCATCCGCGAAGTCATTGCAGATAGACTTTCATGTCGGGGCGGAGCAAAGCTCGCTGTCGACGCCGCTCTTTTGCCTCCTCTCGAAGCGTTTGGGAGCTGCGCGCCGGCACCCGCGGCAGTACTGTGAATGGCACCGCCCTACACCTTGACCGCAGGTTGAAGGAAAATACTGTATTTCTCCGCAGCACTGCGCTCGCAAAGGTGCCGGCTTGTTGTTTTTGCACGTGAGGTTTGAGGCCGCTGGGCTGCCCAGTTCGCGCGCTTCTTCGCTTGCTGCCGGACCCGTGCTGTGCCTCGTGCGTGGCCGCCCGCGACCATAGCTGCCTTCACCCCTCAATGGTGTGCCTCGCTCGCTTGTTCCGATGCCAGTCTCCAACCCCTGCGCTCTTTCCTCGACTAGCTTCGACGACACCTGTTGTTTTGCCAGCCGCCTTCCCCCGCACCAGCGAGCTGCAGTCTTGGACTTGCTGTCGCAGCGGCTTTTGTGTGCTGGGCACGGTGTTACTGTGTGAGTGGCGGTTCGGAGGCCCGGGGCGAAAACACAGCTGCAACTGATGAACCAGGCCCCGTCCTCGCTGCCAAGTTTTGCCTGATGTTCTTCTTCCGCGCCGCGCTGCTCGCTGTGACATCCGCGTTCTTCGGCGGCCCTAACCGGTGCGCGCGATGCCTCCTCCTGAGCATATGGCCGCACTGAACGGGTGCCTGTGACTCGAGCTGCCCAGGCGAGGCGAGCTCACGGCCTCAACTCTTGCCAATGCCCTCGCGATTTGGCTCAGCTGGCCTTATCGAGCCCAGCGCCTTGGGGAGGCACATGGAGGCACTCAACCCGGACCCAGGGATCCGCCTTGCGAGCAGGGCTGGCGCACACCTCCACGGCGCGCGGTTGGCCCAGCAATGCGTCCATGCGCCCTCACATGGGGTGCTGATAGGACTTGTGCCCGCGGACAGCTGCCACACATGGCCGGACAATTGCTCCGTCTGCGGTATGTTGGTCGCCGCATGCCATTAGTACAACGGCACGTGCTGTCGCTGCAGGCCGTCCGCACTCACCGCCATGCTTGGTCTTCCACGCGCCCTGCCAGCGGAGGTTTTGCACCTGCTCGCTTGTGACGATATAGCTTGCCAATTTTTCAGTGCTAGCATACCCGTGGAGGGGGCTCGCCGGCAAGTGCTTTTGCCACTCGATGCGTGACGCAGCCGCCCAACACCTCTGGCCTCTTCAGGTTGGCCTTGCCGTATCCGCTCGGTGCTGAGGCTGCCATGCGCACAGCCACGCAGTGGATGCAGCGCAGCACCAGCCATGTAGAGGAGTGCTTCCTGCGGGTAGACGGAATGTGTTTAAACACCATTGACCGACTTACTACCATGGTCCGCCAAGTCCGCTTGCACGTGCCACGGCACCACCACGCATGGTGCCACGATTACCATTCGCACTTGCTCTTCCACCACTCGACCCTGTTGTCCGAAGCCGGGGTCCAGCATGGGGCCCCCGTTTGCACTTGCAATTGGGTGCCAAGCCGGCTGCTTGGGCTCCGGCCGCGAGCGCGGTGGCCTGGTTGTGGCGCTTCGTATTGTCACGGGCAGGCCGTGTTTTCAGTCCTTTTGAAACTTTTCGGAGGTGTACGGCCCTGATGCCTTCGGCGTGCGCCCCGGCAACCTGCACAGCGTTTTCCCCAAGGTGCCACCCATGCACGCGGTGCTCGACTACGAAGCTTACAGGCACAATCACTTGAAAACAGTGCAGTGCTGAAGGCATGTCGAATGCAAATGCGGCTGGGGCCTATAGCATGGCAGGCTCTGGCCGACGCCACCGCGGCCCGGTCCAGGGAAACTCTTTCCGTGGAAACATATGGAAACCAACGGGCCCCACGAGACGCCGGCCGTGACGTTGCAGCGTCGCGGAAGTAGCGGCGGAAGCGCCGATGCCGGGTTCCGCTGCCTCCGGAAGGTTGGAAAACTAGCCCCTATGGGTCGAATCTCCCGCCGGTCGCTTTCGACTACCGCAGCAATTGTTCGACCCTGTAAATGCCGCTCCGAGCCACAGCTTGTACAGTTGATCCCCGCGCTCTCATTTACAGTTGTATACATTAAGTCGGTTCGGTTCGCGATGTCGCTTTCAAAAACGGGGCGGGGAGGAGTTGCATCGCCTATTTGCTTACCTTTCCGGCGTGCACGACGAATACGAAAGGGGAGAAACCGACTGCTGTTGCACATGTCAGCTGGCGTGGCGCAACTGCGGCACGTGCCATGCGGCTGCCCATCGCAAAGCTGCATTCCGCTCCACATTGCGCCGGATGTGCTATTGCGCGAGCCGGATGGGAAAAACAGAAAAGGCCGAACCATTGCCTTGGCAAGATGAAAGCATCGCCCGGGGAGAGCAACTCCTGGCGGTTTTTTGTTGTGCAAATCTTGCACGCAGCAGAATTCCTAGCCATAATGAAAGAAGCATGGCGATTTTGTTCGCGGATCACCCCTCGTTTCGATGATTTCACGCGGTCCCCAAGCCGAGGCCGCAGACCACGGCATGCGGCTGGCAACAGGGGGCAACTCGGCAAAGTCACCAAGGTCGCTGAGGAGCGGCGTCTGCCCATCCACCTGCTCCAAGTTGGCCTCCTCGGCCGCGTTTGGGTGGGCCTGCTGCGCTGGCTGCATACGGAGGCATCGGCCACGATTTGCTCGTGACCGCCTGCTGCGCCGCGAAAAAAATTAGCGAGCGTACCCTGAAGCCGCAGCACCACGCACTCGCGGCGACATCGGCCGTGCAGGTGCAGGGATGTGGTGACACCAGCATGGCATCGCAGCACATTGCATGCAGTGCCGTCGGTTGTGGCGCCGTAGCTGACCACGTCCAACATTGTCCGACCGACTCACAGGCGACATGCCTGGCGCTCAATGCTCCGCGGCCTGTCGTGCAACAAAGACCCGCGCAGGTTCGGGCACAGGCATGTGAAGGCGTGATAACCGGACCAGTCCACCCACAAATGCGTAGCAGATGGGCGGTGGCACGTGCAAGCGGCGGAACAGCGCAGGTCCGGCATCGAAGCCCAGCCAAGTTCGAGCACCGCGTGTACACGTTCCAGTCCCCGCCGCGTCAGCTCCGTGGCCTGTTACGGAAAGCTTTGCGTGTCTCGCTCGAGGCACTCCGGGATGAGGTAGGCACAGACACAGAACGCGACGGATGGAAACTTTTCCTTCTGGTCCCACTCATGTAGCTCTTTCGCACGCCAGGCGTAGCGCACGTGCCTCCTCAGGAGTTCAAACGCCGCCAGCGTTTGTTCTGCGAGGGCGGCTGGACACAGCTGCTCCGCGAGAGCGTGGCTGCGGCCCAACCAGCCCAACAGGTTCGGGGTACCTGTCGCCCCCCGAGGCCCGATGCCGGCTCTGAGAGTAACATCCGGCACCGAGCTGCCTTGTTGCAGATTTGGGCCGGCGTGGCCGACGAAGGGTCAGCACTTGAGTGGATGGGCACTTGTGCTTCCGGAAATCGGCGAACGGGGTCCCGGAGTGCTTGGAGCGTGTCGGCGGTGGCTGGCGCTAAGGGTGGAGCCGTGAGGGCCTTGGCAGCTGCGGACATCTCGCCGAGGTGAGAGAGCGCGGAGTCTCGCAGGCAGCTTCCTAACCAACTTGCGGAGGGCACGACGTGGAGCGGCTGCCGGCCCGTCCGGGTGCACGAATGAGTATTTCAGGGTCCTCATGGATGAAGAAACTACGGCTGAGCTCCTTGGGCACGCAGTGGGCAGGCTGGCAGCGGCGAAGGTCCCTTGCGACGTTGCGGACGCGCTGCGACTAGGCCGTGTGGTTGCGCTAACGAAGCCAACAGGTGGAGTGCGAGCCCTGGTCATGGGCGACGTCTTTCGCCCCCTAGTGGCCCGGACACTGGCACAGCAGTTCGGGGCCGCGTTCCGCGCAGCTTGCGCGCCGTTCCAGTACGCCCTCAGCACACGTGCAGGCTCCGAGGCCGTCGTCCGCACCGTGCAAACGGCGACCGAAACTGACCCTGGAACGACAGTTGAGCTTTGACGGCGTGGGGGCCTACGACCACACCTCGCGCGCGAGCATGCTCGAGGCACTTCGGGCACACGCTCCCCTCAGCCGCTATCTCTACTACGACGAGGCAGGCGTGGGGCGCGAAGTGCTGCAAGGAGAGGGCGGCGAGCAAGGCGACCCCCTCATGCCGGGACTTTATGCGCTCGGACAACACGCCGCCCTGGCCGGAGCGCACACTCCCTGCCTTGCGAGCCGCGCAGGCAGTGTTGTCCCGCCTAGCCAACGTCCAGGTGCACCTTGGCAAAACTCGCACTTGGAACGCAGCTGGCGAAGAACCATTGACGCTGACTGAGATGATTCGAGTGTTGTGCGGTGGCCACGGCCATATATATACATATATATATATATATCTATATAATATTGTTTTATACTATATGATGTTATGTTATGTTATGTTATGTTATCTTATATTATGTCATATTTTGGTATATTATGTTATATGTCCGGAGCAAAACAAGGCTTTCTGAGCTAGCCATCAGGGCCGCCGCACTGATTTTGCCGAAGTGCTGCGGGTCCGAGCCGCCGGCCGCAACATTACGCAGCGCTTTTAAAACACAGGCAGTTGCGAACCGGACGGGTGAAAGGCTTCCGTGCTATCTGCACAGCAGCGTCCGCAGGTCGGGGGGCATGTCGCCCGTAGCGGTGCGGCAGGCATTCGCCAGCACGACGTTGGTGGGACCGCCGTGTAGTCCGTAGTCCATTAGCCAGACTAATCTGCGGCGAAAAACAGGCAACAACCGGGCAGTCCGAGCTCGGCAGCAGTAATCGGTGGCAGGTTCGGTGCTGAAGCTTCCCAATTGCTCCAACTTTTGGGTGTGCCTTCGCCATCAACGCCGGTCGCTCTCTTGTCCGGCTTCGTTGCCCGACGCTAGCCGATTCTGCGCGCCTCCGTGCCCTGCGCGCGCCCCCGCTTGGTATATGACGGTAAGGCCTGCGCCCTGCAATCGCCCAACGGCGCGAAATAAAAAGCAAGAGTGGATTCAACGTACATGTTTATCAGACGTTTCCTTGAACCGTCAGCAAGCTTGACAAATCGCGAGCGGCATCGCAATGAATGTTGGTGTGGGGTTCGCGCGCCGATTCGCCGTTATGTTACATGCGCATGCGAACAGCAACATGCCGGCATTTTTCGAACTTGCTCCAATCTGTGGGCTGGTGTTGTTGGCCCCACACATGCAGCTTTTGGTTCTGTGGCTGAGGCAGAAGTTTGTGCTCTTGACGGAGATGGCCGATCGGCACTGGATTGGGCAGTGACGTTCCCAGATTTACTGGGAAGAGTGTCCTGGACACATCCGGCAGCTATGGCTTTCGCACAAAGGAATGGCGCGGGCGTGGACACGTTGTCCAAGCTTTGCAACGCCACGAACGCTTGCACCGATTGCTGGATGAGCAGCGTGCTGCGTCACAAGCCGATATGTTGCGCGGTGGCATGAATTTTTTGCAGAAATGCCACGTCACAATGACTATCTTGCTGCCCGCCTGCCAGCCGCAGGAGCACGAAGTTGTTCACAGCAGAAACGCGACTCGCACAGCTGGGCACAGAATTGGCGGCCAGTTCCAAAAATTCAGGCAACGTTCAGACGAGCCAAAGCATCCCATACCACCCTCCCATGTATCTTCCTTACATGTCTGTGCAGCCGTGGCAGTTCCTGCTCCTGGATTGCCTGAAAGGTTTGCGGCAGCCAGAAGAGCAGTACGCACCCTTCGCAGAAGCAGGCCTTGACCATCCGTGTGTGCACACATCTTCAAAACGAAGAGTTGCGTTGAAGTCCGTAGGTGTCGAAGAAATGGTGGAAAGGTTAAGGCAGCAAAATGAATTACTGGAACAACGGGAGCTTGAGCGAGTGGACCTGGAGCAACGCCGGGCCCTTGTAAGACATCATGATGTGTTTGTCGCTCGCACATGTGCGTTTCTTGGAGGCTTAACACTGTGCGAGCAGGAGGAGCACAGTTGCAAGGACACCTTGGCGCGGGAAAGGGAGCTGCAGCAGCATCACGATGGTAGTCATTGACCTACGGGGCATACCGGCAATCCTGTCGTCATGCGTGCCACATTTGAACTTGTTTGTGCGGTTGCAGAGCAGCAGCAAGGTCTTCGATCTGAGTTGGTGTACGAAAAAAAGCAGTTCGACATGTTGCGTGAACAACACGAGTCTGGCAGCTGTTCCGCACTGGGCCGATCCGATGGCTTTCCGAACTTCTCAATTGAATTGGTCTTTCGAAAGCAAGGATTGACACGGGCAGAAGAGGAAATTCAGCGGCGTGAAGCAACATGGCACCGGGAACGACTACAGTGCGAAGAAGCCGAGGATCGTCGGGGGCTTAACCAATGAATGTTTTCGAGGTGCATGTGTATGTCTTTCACCGCGCACGACTCCGCAGCAATAATCCACCACAGGCCACACCGGTGTTATGTCGATCAGTGTCGACCGCCAGCTAGGATAGTACCGTACTTGTACCAAGAACCAGATTGCTCGTTCAGGTGTACGTGTTTTGGAAAAGCAGTGTGGGCCAGGCTCGTCGGGCAAGTCAACAAGCATTTGCTTGACTTCCAAAAGCTTGCATGTAGTCTGTACTGAACTAGCCATCAAGCATGTTCTGAATGCAGGTGAAGAGCGACTCCAACAATGTGAAGATATGTTCGAACGAGAATGTCGCAAGCGAGTTGAAGCTGAAGATTGCAAGCACCCGAGCCGATAACACACGGTGCGGTAACAGTTTCTTTTTCTTCCCTCCTTTCTCCTGTCTTTTTCCTCCCACGCTCTATCTTGCTGTCGACCCGACAGTTGGCAACTTTTGCTCCTCACCGAAAGCACCTGTGAAACGAGGCCTGAGGGAACGTGAGACGATGGAGCAGCAGCGCAACGATGTTGCACAGCGTGCTTTGGTTGCAGGGATAGACGGACAACTCGCCAGTCTTGTCTTCTCTTGTGAGGTGCGATCCAGAAGCTGGAGCAGGAAGTAGCAGCGGCGGAGGACAGGGCGGAGCTTCTGCACAAAGAAGTCGTCACCGCAGAAGAGGAGCGCCAAACCGGCAAACCAGTGTAACAAAGGCATGTGGACTTCATGTCGTTATCTCCAGGACGCACGCCAAGCGCAGGCTTTTCCTGACATGCTGCTTGCACTGTCAAAACCCCATTCCGATATTGTCTGAGAATCTTCGAATCTGTGGCAGGCACGTGCTGCGGCAGCTTCCCGTGCGTGGGGCCGGTGACTGTCAAAATACAAGTGGCCCGAAGTTTTGTTAACTATCTGACGGTGTGATTTCGACTTTGTGCACTCGTCATCCCTTCTCTCTTCCATCTCCCTTGCTACTGCTTGTCGTTTGTCCTCCGTTATCCCGTCGCTTTCAGGAATGTAAATCGTAAGGCTCGCCGCGGTTCTGGCATCATTGCACTGCGACGCGCCAAAATCATGTTTACTATGTCTTGACATGTGACTTTAATGTACCGCGCGGCCATTTTGGCTTAAGTGCTGTTTTCTGTTGTGTTCTGTTGCTGCTGTTGCCCCTTGTTGGACTGGTGCTGGTCATGTCGGTCCAACCTCTGCGGACTCTGGTTCGCCGGCTGAGGGCTGCGGCTGCAGCAGACGATGCCCTGTTGGGTGCAGCCTTGGCTGCCATGCCTGATGCTGAGGCACTTCGCCTCTACTACCACCTTCGTGATCATGTACAGCAAGCCCACGTGGACTACGAGACTGAGGGTTCGAGTGAATATGATCTGCCCTCGTGTCCCGCTGCTGGCAGTCTGCACTTGCCGTCTCAGGATCGCAACACCGACCTGCTGGGGCTGTCACCTGACTTGGTGGACTTGAACTTTGAGCCGCCGGTTGCTCCTGATCAGCCTGTCTCTGCTGTTCCTGCGACTGCTGGCTCGGCTTCTGAGGCTGCCTCGTCTGTGGCCGGTTCTGGTGCTACCACGGCTGCTGCCGGCATCACCTCTGTTGCTCCTGATTTTGCTGGTGCAACTTCTGAGGTTTCTGGGGCTGTTGCCGAGTCTGGTGGCGGCTCTGACACTGGCGCAGGCACTGAGGTCTATGACGGTGGCTCTGGCCTGGTGGTGCCGTCTGTGGATGATTCCGCTGCCTCCTCTCCTGAGCTGATCCCTGCCACACCTGAGGTTGGTGGCCCCTCTGGTGATGGTGGAGCTCCTGATGTGACTGTGGCTGGCTCTGCTGACGGTGCTGCAGAATCTGAGGCTGATTCCTCTCGCACAAGCAGCCAGGCTGATGATGCTGTGCCCTTCCATTCTTGACCTTAACAGCATGGACGGCCTGGACGGTATCAATGAGCCCATGGCACCTGTCGAGCCTGCTGTGCCTGAGGACTCTTCGGTGGTTGATCCACCCCTGGCTGCTGTGGCTGGACCCCCGGGGCTGCCGCCTGGGGCACCGGCCATTGCCACGCCGACTGTGGCCACTCCGCCACCGTCGTTTCCTTTGGCTGCCCCGGCCTCATCGACTGCTGATCCGTGGGCTGGGTATCAGGGTCTCACTGTGAACTCTGCTCCTGCGGCTGCTGGGTCGACGGCCCCTCAGTTTGCACGTCTTCGTATGACTGGGACGGCTAACTGCCATTATGTCCTTGCTTGTGACGTGCGCGCGGGGCGACCACTGGACCCGCGGCTCTGTCTCCCTTTACGATACCCTCTGCGTGACCTTCCTGCTGATTTGCAGCGTCACGGTCACAGTTTGACAGGGTGGTGCGGTACAGCATGCTGGGGCCAATGCGACCACGCTTGCAGCCGCCCAGTGTCAGACTCGGCGCGCCGGCCGCATAGGCGCCACTTTTGCGACAGATGTCGCAACCTCTGAGATTTCTGCTGACTGTCTGCTGTCTGAAAGGGCTGGTGCATTTAGAGCCTGAGTGTTCGCAGCTGCTGCCTGGGCACTGGCCCTTTGTACGTTTCTCTGCAGCTTGCTGGCTCTGTGTTTCTGCCTGGGGGCTGGGGCTTGGCTGCCTGGGCCTTGAGGCTGGGCTCCTTGCTTCCCTTGTTCTCTTGAGAGACGCGCCTGCACCCTGGCTGGGCAGGTAGTTCTGCTTTGGGCTTGGGACCCAGCGGCTTGTGCCACTTCATTGCTCTCTGCTGTGTGTGCTGAGGCTTTGTGGGCCTTGTCGCTGCTTGGTGGCGAGCCCTCACCTCGAGGTGGGGCATGCACTTGCGTGCGGTTCTGAAGTTCGGCGTGGCAGGTTGCTGGGCTTGTGCCTGCAGCCGCTCTGGCCGCTGCCTCAGGCTTGTGCCCCGTTTGCTGTGGGTACTTTGCACTTTCAGGCCTGCTTCTTGTACCAGGCTGGGAAGGGGGCTTGCGCTCTCCCTGTTTGCTTTCCTGGTTGTCTGCTTGCGCAGGCTTCCTGCTGTCTGTGGACCTCGCTGTTCGAGGCCGGTCTTACCATGCCTGGCCTGCTCGACTTGTGTCCTGACAGGCTGCTGGCGCTGGTGCTTCCCTCTGTGAGTCTGCGGCTCTGCACCTGTGCCTTTGTGATGGCGAGTGTGGCGGACAGTGCGGTCACGTTCGCTAGCAAAGCTAAGCAATACGGGCTGAGCCAGGGTGTGTTAGACAGTCTGTCTGCCTCTGGTATCACGACGTACTCTGCTCTGCTTTTTGCCGTGGCGAGTGCACCAGGAGCCGTGGATGAAGCCAGGTTAAAGGCGGCCAAGGATAAGCATCTGGGCGCTGGTGCCTCTGAAGGCGCTGTTGCCGCTTTTTCCCGACTCCTCTTTGAAGCCGGTACCTTCGTGGTCGCCGAGCTCCGGAGTTCGGTGGCCGGCGAGGACGATGGCTCCAAGAAATTGACCTCACAAGAACGTGCCAGTCGCATGGATGCGCTGCGCTCCAAACTCGGAGCGTGGCCCATCACTGGCTCCTTCGAGCCGAGCCATGTTTTGATCGATGCCGCTTTCGGGATGGTTGCTGATAGTTCTGTGCGGTACTTGCCGCCTAGCAAGTGCAGTTCTCGTGAGCAGGAAATTCTTTCAGAACGGCGTGACGACACGTTGTTTCGTCTTGAGGCCACTGCTCTGCGAGCTGCCAAGAAGCCTGTTCTGCCCAAGGTTGACCTTGGGAACGAACTGCGGTTGTATCAGGCACTGAGCCGACGCGGTGTTGCACTGGAGGTTGCTGGTGTCTGTTCTTTTGCTGTGCACGAGAACTATGTTCGTGGTCTGTTGGACCACCTCCAGCGCATGCCCCCTGCTGGGTATTCTGCTCCTGGCATTGACTCTGTGCTGGCTGCTGATCGTGCTGTCTGGCAGCATGTTGCCGCTCAGGTACCTTGCCTGCCTTCTGTTGATGTGACCACTAAGGTCGATGCTGCCTTGCTTGCTGCTGCCGCGGCCCCTGCTGTTGCTTTCCACGTCATGCCTCGTGAGAAGAAGCGGGCACTGGATGATGCCAAGTTGCCACCCGGCAAGACCGGCAAGGGTGACGGTGGCAAGGACAATCGTCCTGGCAAAGGCAAGGAAAAAGGGGGCAGAGGCAAGGGAGGAAAAACCTCCACAGGTGGCAAGACGGGGTCCCCTTCTAAGCAGACTGCTGTTCCTGCTGCACTGAAGGGTCTGGATCCCAACAAGGACGGCACTCCATTGTGTTTTGATCGCAATCTGGCCCATGGTTGCAAGCGCGAGACCTGGCAGACTCCCGCCGGGTTGCAGTGTGAGAAGGGCTTGCACTTGTGCATGAAGTGTGGTAGCCCGGACCACGGAGCGCATGCATGCAGCAACTGATCCTCTGCCTCTGAGGCTGTGGCGCTTTGTGCTGCTGAGGTGGCTGCTTCCTTCCTCTGTGGATTGTCTCCCTGAGGATCAGTTCACTGATGCTGTTTCGGTGGTGCCCTTGCCCACGCCTCAGTCTGCTGAGTTCATTGCTACTGTGCCGGAAGCCGCCTGTTCTGCGGCAACTGTTTCTGATGGGTCTGCGACTGCAGCGAGTTCTCCACCTGAGGTGCATTTTTCCGATTCTGTTCCTGTGCCACCTGCTGCTGAGGTGAGCTCGGGCGTTGTACCTCCTTTTTCCAGTACCAAGGTTTTTTCGAATTTCTTGCCGGGGCCTGCGACCCCTGCTTGTCCTGATGCTGGCACGGGTCGTGCCTGTGTTGCCGTTGAGATCTTTGCTGGCTCCTGCCGACTCAGCAAATGCTTGAAGGCATCTGGGTTCGAGACTGTTGCTGTTGATGTGAAGGACGCTGCAGGACATAAGGTACTCAAGCTTGATTTGCTCTCCGCGGCTGGTCTAGCTGTGCTGTGGGACATTCTGAGCTCTGGTCAGGTCTTGTATGTGCACATGGCACCCCCCTGCAGCACTGCTTCTGCCGCGCGTTTCATCCCAGGTGGCCCTCGTCCACTTCGCAATTCTGAAAACCCTGACGGACTCCCTGGCTTGAGCTTTGCCCAGAGGTTTCAAGTGCACAACGCAAACCGCTTGTATGCCCTGTGCCGAGATGTTGCGTTGTTTTGCCAGAGTCGGCGCATCGGCTGGAGCATTGAGAATCCGGGTTCTAGCATGTTGTGGCTCACATCTCCCATGATGGCTCTTTGTAAACAGCTTGGCAGCGAGTTGAAAACCGTTGTTTTTGACCATTGCTGCTGGGGGGGCGAGAGACCCAAGAGAACTGCTCTGTGGAGCAACCTGTCCTGCCTCTCTTCGCTGGGCTCACTTTGCTCCCCTGATTTGGGACATGTGCATAAGCCCTGGGGCAGACTTCCTGATGGCACCTGGAGCACCAAGGTTGAGGCGGCATATCCCATGCCGCTGTGCCGTTTCTGGGCACATCTGCTGCAATGCCATTGGGCTACTGAGTTAGCTGCGATCTCGAATCCTGCAGCTGCAAACTGGTCTGGGCCTACGCGGCTGTTTGAGACACGCCGGGCCCTCGGTCTTTTTCCTCGAGGCCGCCACCCAGGTGAGATTCGCAATCCCTTCAGTGACCGAGTGCCTCTGCGTTTGCCCTTGAGCACGGCTGCACATCTGCTTGTGCCTGGTTCTGATGCGCACATAACAGGCGCACCGAAGGGCTGCAAGGTCCTGTCATGTGTCAGGGAGGCTGATTCTTGGCTCTTGGAGGTTGGTGTTCCCTGTGAACCTGAGGCCTTCATGAAGTCTGCTGCTTCATTTCGGCACCCGTCTGAGTGTGATGCTGAATTGCCTCATGACCTGGAGGAGACTCTGTCGGCTGTCTCGCGCATGAGCTGCTCCGAGCTTGCGCGCCGGAGGTGTCGCTTTTTGCACAGCATCCTTCAAAGATCTCAGGAGTTAGCCCGCCGCGAGACCGTTCTGCACTCAGGTCTGGCTCCGCATGCTAAGGCTGTGCTGAAAGGCAAGCGTCTGTTACTGCTGGGAGAGCTTTTGGCCAGCCTTGGGCACGAGGACACCCAGTTGATCCCTGATATCTGTGCCGGGTTTAAGCTCACAGGCTGGCTTGCTGCCAGTGGTGTCATGGAGCCCAAGATCACAGCACCTTCTGAATCTGCCTCGAACCTGTGGCGGCAGCGCTTTGACTTGAACTCGAAGGCTTGGAAACAGACCAGGCCCACAGATTCTGAGGAGCTTGATCGCTCTCTGTGGGCAGTCACTGTCAAGGACGCTTCCAGTGGTTGGGCGCTGCTTCTGCCTGTTTCTCCTGAGCCTCCTGCTGACTTGCTGTTGAGCCGCCGGTTTGCTGTGGTTCAGGGTGATAAGGTTCGCGGTGTTGACGATTTCAGTTTCAATGGCCTGAACGACACTTTGGGCACCTGTGAGAAGGTGACTACCATGTCGACAGCGCACACTGTCGCTTTGGGCCTGCGTTTACTGAGGATCGCCAAGGCCCGTGGCATGCGCCTGCTTGGCCGTTGTTTCGATCTGAAAAGTGCCTATCGGCAGCTGCCGATACATCTGGATGATTTGCCGTATGCTGCTGTCACGGTCTGGTCCCCTGATGATCAGGCTGTCAGGGTTCTCCAGATGTTCGCACTGCCTTTCGGAGCTGGAGGTAGTGTTCCAGGGTTTGTTAGGGTGTCACTGGCGCTTTGGCGCGTAATGTGCAGGCTGGCACTTGTGCCGGCAACACTTTTCTTTGACGACTACACCTGCATTGTGCTTGAGTCTGATGCTGTGAATGCTGAGGCATCTGTTCACATGCTGTTTCGCATTCTTGGCTGGAGGCTGGCGCTTGAAGGGGACAAGGCTACCCCCTTTGCTCAGGTTTTTCAGTCATTGGGTGTTATTTTTCTGCTGTCGCCTGGTGTTGACTGTAGCTTGTCTGTCAGCAACACCGAAAGCCGAAAGTCCGAGGTGGCCGCCTGGTGCCTTGAAAAGTTGAGGTCAGGGAGTGCTTCTCCCAAGGAATGTGAGCAGTTCGCCAGCCGGGTCAGATGGTTGTCAGGTCAGGTCTTTGGCCGCACGGCCGGCTCTGCTCTCAGAGTTCTTCTCACTGCCGGTCGTGCGGGCCGGCCGCACACTGCCAGGGCCTTGTCTTTGGAACTGCGCTGGGCAATACGCTGGATTCTTGAGCACATTCCAAAAGGTAGAGGCAAGGTCTGGTCACTCTGCAGCCGCAGGAAGCTGCACCTGTTCACTGATGGAGCCTTTGAAGGGGGTACTGCCTCCATTGGTGGTGTTCTCTGTGATGGTTGGTGTCAACCTTTGCAGTGGTTTGGGTGTAAGGTTCCTCAGGCTGTTACTGCAGGCTGGCTTCCTGACGACTGCGAGCATCCCATCATCCAAGCTGAGCTTTTGGCGGTTGCTGCCTCAGTCATGTGTTGGAGCCAAGTGTTGCGTGACTCCAACACGTGCGCTTGGGTCGACAATGAGGTTGTTCGCTTTGGTATTGTTAATGGGTTCATCAGACCTGACAGTGCCATGTGCATTCTGGAGCGCATGTTGCGCATGGAGGCCTCTCTTGGCATTCAGCTTTGGGTCTGTCGTGTGCCTTCGCACAGCAACCCTGCTGATGGGCCTAGCCGTGGCTTGCGCCCTGCTTTCCTTTCAAAAGCCAAGGAGGTTAAAGTTGACGTGGGGGACTTGGTCTCCTTGGCCAGCGGCATCTAAAGGTTCTGGGGCTGCTGGGCCGCTGGCCGCACTGTCAGACCGATCGTAGGCTGTTTGCGGCACTCTGTGACTGTGCTGCATCTGTGACAGCCCTGCGGTTGTCGGTCTGCTGCGAGACTGGACAGCTTGTGCTACCCCACGTGAAAAAGATGTCCTCCTTGCACCTGCATCTGCATGCTGATGTTTGTTTTAGTAGAGCGCGTGCATTAAGTTTACTATGTCTTGACATGTGACTTTAATGTACCGCGCGGCCATTTTGGCTTAAGTGCTGTTTTCTGTTGTCCCGCCCACCCTACCCTATGAGAAGTGACACTGATCCCTTTTGGGCTCATGGCCTGGGCTTTGGTCCTGTCAGGAGCCGAGGACAGCGACTGCAGCTGCCTTGGGAGTCTGGACCTTTCGCTTTCTTGACTGTTCAACGCTGTGACTTGCAGCAGTCTCTGGACGACCTGCTCCGGGCACCTGTGCCTGTGCCTGTTCCTAGACAGAGCTCCTCTGTTCAGACAGGTCTGGCTCTCAGCTCTCAGGTGCCTTCTTCTGCTGCTGCTTTCAAGCAGCCCGGCAGGTCCAAAGGGTTTGGCTGGAGCTCTCAGGAAGAGCGTACCAAACGAGTTCAAGCACTTTGTAAGTGGTCGAACTTACTGAAGCTGGCTCCTGAGCTCTTCTGTGTTGCGACTGTGGACAAGTTGCCTCCTGAAGGCGATGAGTGCATGGTGGAGCATTTGGACATTTTGTTCAGCAAGAAGAGCACGAACACTCTTCTGACACGAGCCTCGCCACTGACTAGGTTTGTGCTCTGGAGGCGCCGCACTTGCCCTGAGGACTCCTTCTCTGAGAGTGTGCTCTGGTTGCACTGCCGTTGGTTACAGAGTTCTGCCGCTGCTTCCAGCATAGACTCCTTTGTGTCGAGCCTGAACTTTGTGCACGGCACCCTGGGCTTGCGCGTTGCCGTTCAGGAGCTACTTTCTGCACGTGTGCGTGGACTAGCCCATGCACATCTGCGCACTAAGGAAGAGGTTGCTCAAGCACCGGCTCTCACTGTCTCTCAGCTCAGGTGGTTGGAGTACTACGCTGCCACTGTGGACGACTTGTACGAGCGCCTGGTTGCGTCGACGCTGTGCTTCATGGTCTATGCTCGTGCTCGGCGCAGTGATCTGCGTCGCTCTACGCACATTGAGTTTGACTTGTCACCTGGTGGACTGGATGGCTTTGTGGAGTGCAGGGTGAAGAATCCAAAGCAGGCGCGAGCGGCTAGCAGGAGAAACCTGTTTATGCCGCTGACAGCTCTGTTCTGCGGCCTGTCTGACGTGCCCTGGGGTGCTACTTTCCTGGCTGTGCGTGAAGCAAACCGCTTGGAGAATGCTGGAGCTCTGGATCACCCTCTGCTGCCCGGTTTGACTGCTGCTGGGCAATGGCTGCAGGAGTGTGTCAGCAGCAGTCAACTGACACAGTGGCTTCGCTGCATCCTGGCCAAGGCCCCTGATGCTGACCTGGCTTCTGTTGCTGCTGTACGCAGCCACAGCTGCAAGGCAACTTTGCTCAGCTGGTGTGCTAAAGCTGGCCTTTCTGACAAGACTTTGACCTTCCTTGGCTACCACAGCCATGGCGTCAACATGGCAAATGTTGGCTACCGTCGAGACGTCCTTGCCGGGCCGTTGCGCGAGCTCTGGCAGGTGGTTGCCTCTGTTCGCTCTGGCAAGTTTCAACCTGACGTCACCAGAAGTGGTCGCTGGCAGGAGCCTGCCAGCCCTGTGAGTTCTGCTTCTGCCTCTTTGGTCACCTCTCCTCCCAGCAGCTCTGAGAAGAAGTCTTCTGCTGGAACCAAGGCTGTGGACTCTGCTGAGACCAGTAGCTCGAGTGGCTCTTCCGAGGCATCCTGTGGCAGCGACGATGGCGCTGAACAACTGGTTGCGGCTGCTCCGCATTTTGTGGAAAATATCCTGGGTCTGGGGGACTACGCCGTTGCAGGTAACAAGAAGAACAGGCTGATGCACATTGTGAAGCAGTCTACTGGTCGCCTGCTGTGTGGCCGTCTTCTGAGCGACTCTTTTCAGGTCACTTCTGAGGCTGACGCTGGCGTCGGAAAGTTTTGCCGCACCTGTAAAACCTGTGCTCTGGCCTCTGTTTAGTCCTGCTGTACGGGGCTGCTGGGCCGCTGGCCGCACTGTCAGACCGATCGTAGGCTGTTTGCGGCACTCTGTGACTGTGCTGCATCTGTGACAGCCCTGCGGTTGTCGGTGTGCTGCGAGACTGGACAGCTTGTGCTACCCCACGTGAAAAAGATGTCCTCCTTGCACCTGCATCTGCATGCTGATGTTTGTTTTAGTAGAGCGCGTGCATTAAGATCCATGGGTTGCTGCGCTCACCGGAGGCATGTGCACCATGTTGGCTCCAGAAATCCGTGCCTCGTGCCTGCTTCAACGTTGCAACCCAGCATGTCCCGACCCCACAAACCTCTTGAAGCACCATCGCCCTCACATGCGAACAGACGAGATCCCAAGACCCCCAAACGTTCTGATTGATCTGTGGCTGCTGAAGCAGGATCCTAGGGCCTGGAGATGTTACTGTAGGGGACATCTGATGGCGTACTGTGACACTTGATTTGCTCTTCCGAGCGCCAGGCTCTCGGCCTCTAAACTGCGAGTCATCGAGCACAGTCCGCGGTATGTCCAATGCCGGGAGAGCCAGGTCATGACGAGCTCATGGACGATGGGGACGAAAGGAGGCCACGTAAGGTGTTCAGGTCCAAGATTGCCGGATGTTTTACGAGCGTGCATCCAGGTCTGGATGCTCAATCGCTTGCAGGTTGGGTACCCGTGTTGGAGTTGGGGGTGGTGGAGCTGGTTGCACAAGCGGCATGTGCTGAGCGTCCTGTGAACATGTACCTGGTGCATGTTGGGTTAGACTGGCTCGAAGGGATTTGGGCTTTTTTCGACTTCGCCGGAACAGCAGTCCAGCCCTTATATAATCAGGGTAGTAAGCCTTCGACCTGGATTGCATATCTGAGGTGTGCAAATCGTATTAACCCCACTCCGTCTGTGTCTTTTACATCCAGTGGTATGTAATAGCGCCGGTCGGCTGCATTCAAACTCGTGTGTAGCTTGTCATGAGCACGAAAGATGGACACGGCCTGGGTGTGCAAGATCCACATGCCATCCTTGACGGCTGTGCCAGCCTATTTCGAGTGCTTCATTCGGTGCGTCGGTTTTGGCGCAACTTGGAGAAGTAACATGCTTGTTTGGGTAGGCCTGATCTTGATGTACCGCATGACCCCGCGACTGCGGCGCCAGATTGCGCCGATTGAGCTTCTGAGGTCGCCGTGTTTGCATCTTTTCCGGCGTGTCCTCAAGCTGGCTGCAAGTCACGTCGCCGTGCGATGGAGCGATCACGCACTGGGCCCAACCAGGCACGGAAACCGAAGCGCTTTGCTTTTCTCCCAGAGGCTTTGGGGCTCTTGCGGCTTGTCAGGTCCCACCTGGCAGGCCCAGAAACGGGCCTACGAGGAACTGGACACGGCAGCCAGCCATGCCAGCCCTGGAGCGTCCAGCGAGGCCGGCTGCGTGTCGGGCTGAGCTGCAGAGCGAAATCCAAGTACCTGACTTGCCGCTGGCAGGTGAGTTGGACGGCTTTCTGCACATGCTGCAAGCGGCCTCTGTCGTTGACTCTATCGGATCCACCAGCTTCGAAGAAGCCTCGCCAGGACTGGGAGCCAGTTCTGAAGCATGTGAGCGTGTGCCCCATGGCCCCATGGCATTCAAACACAGCAGGATGCGAGAAGCACCGAGGGGCGGTCTCTTGGTCAGCTAATTGTTTCCCATGGAAGCAAGGCTTACAGTCCAACCATCTCCGTGAGACAGGATCATGGCGGGGTGTTGGCATTTCACTCGCCCAGGTTTGCCTATGTGGTCTGCCTCTGGGGTCGTAACGCGGAGTATGTTCTGGGAGCAATGGTGCTCGCCCACTCGCTGAAGAGGAGCCGGCTTGGGCTTGAAGTCTTTCTTAATGAAAACGTTTGAGAGACGAACTCCTGTCGTGTCCTTCGTTCTGCCATCTGTTTCATTCCAAGCAGGTCTGGAACTCGTCATAATCTCGTCGCCCTTCACACGGATGATGTCCCGAAAGAGGTGGGGCCTTTGGGGGGTGGCCCGGTTACAGTACACCCCGGCAGTTGCGCGCAGGCCGTGCAGCTGTTGCAGAAAGCAGGATGGCGCCCACGTCAAGCAGCTTGAGATAACCTCTGTTCTGAGAGAGACATGGCAACGGTCGGTGGCACCAAGCCTGATATCTCAGGTAGAGTACGTCGAAGCAGTGTCGAGGCTGTACCAGCGGCATTGCATCACTGGACGTTTTTCGGATGTGTTGCTTGGCGGCAGCTTTGCCAAACCTTCGAGGTTTCTTCCCAAATAAGACGAGCTCGGATCGCGATGGTGAAACCCCTTCTGGGAGCTGCTGTCACAGGGTCCACAGGGGACCAAGAAGCATCGATGCGTCGGATTCTTGGCTCAAGCGGCTCAGCAGGGTGCTCGACCCCAAACCTCCGAACCAAGCTCCCGAGACTCGAGACCCAGCATGGCGGACAAGTCTGAAAATCCGATGCGCCAGATACGGGTTGAGAAGCTCGTGTTGAACATCAGCGTCGGTGAGAGTGGCGACCGCCTGACACGTGCTGCAAAAGTGCTAGAGCAGCTGACAGAGCAGCAGCCTGTATTCTCGAAGGCACGTATGACGATTCGTCAGTGGAGTGTCCGACGCAACGAGAAGATTGCTTGCCATGTCACTGTCCGAGGCGAGAAGGCCGAAGAAATCCTTGAAAAGGGATTAAAGGTCAAGGAATACGAGCTTCGAAAGAAGAACTTTGCGAGAAACGGCAGCTTTGGCTTCGGCATCACCGAGCACATTGACCTTGGAATCAAGTACGACCCTGGAACAGGCATCTATGGAATGGACTTCTACGTTCACTTGTCCCGTCCTGGAGGTCGAGTCCAGTATCGCAAGCTTCGCAGGGGCAGAGTGGGTTCGTCACACAGACTCAGAAAGGAAGATGGCATGAAGTGGTTTCAAACCAAGTATGATGGCATCCTGCTCAACTGATACCCCGCGGATTGTGGCATGTCAATACAGTAGTGTGGTCTCAACAAAGATTTGCTTGCATACAGAGGTTTGGGAAAATTCGATCGCTTGAATTGTTAGCTCTTCTTGTGAGTTGATGCAAGTGGATTGGCGGAAGGTGCAACTCGTAGGTGTCTCTGTCAATGCGTGTCGTTGTCTGATGTCCGCAAGATTTTTGCCCAGGTTCACCAAGCTCAGGCGAGCAGTGGCGAAGCCGTGCCCTGACCGATTTGCCCTTGCAGAAAACCCGTCTTGGTGTCAGGGTATTCAGCTTGGTGGAGTACGACAAGATCTTGTTGATGGACGCGGATCTCTTGGAGCCTCGACAAAGCCATGTTAGTGAAGATCCAGCACACTGCAGTACACTGCACTCCCAGTCTTTGGAGGTTTGCGGCCTCAGCGACGAGCTCTTCGACTTGGAAGCTCCTGCTGCGATGGGTCGTGGGCCGTGGAGTGGCTATGCCCACGGTGAGCGGATCAACGGCACCTGGGATAACAGAGTGTGCAGACTGTGTGTTGTACTACTTTTTCACCCCTCCGGTGCTTTGTGACACTGCGAGGCAGCTTCTTTTTCGGCGGTGCCCGCCCTGGCCCCTGGGGTTGGGGCCAGTCGCTCCTTGCTTGTAGTTTTCGCTGCATCACGTGTCATGGGCGACTGTTTCGCTTGGGGCGGTGTGTCAAGCTAAGGGGTGGCATCAATGCCGGAGTCATGCTGCTGAAGCCCAGCTTGGACACATTGGCACATTGTCTGGCAGAGGTCTTCTGATCTTGTCGCATCAAGTTTCAGCAGTCAGTCAGTCAGTCAGTGTGTGTGTGTGCGTGTGCGCACTACGCGGCTACTGTTGTCACGGACAGATTTGGAGAAAGCATTCATTCAGTTTTACGTCATATCAGCTGAAGTCGAATCTCAACATGTGCAGGTGGCCGATGAGAAGCACCCGGAACATATACGTGGAAACGGGCCGGAACAGGACTACTTGTCGAGAAGCTGGACTGGAATGAGTATTAAGCTTGGCAGACCGGACTCGTGTAGGCATCATCTGCATAAAGTCGTGGGTGCAGTGGCCTAGGATATTATGCCAGCAGCTGGACCCACATCAGTGTGGCGTACAACTTCCAGCTGCATCAGATGTACTACGTGGCCAGTCCGCGCGTATTCTTTTGTAACGTCATGATGCCTTTGCAAGTGAGCTTTGCTGCTGGTATGATGAAGGCCATGCAAGTAGTGAGGCCTTGAATCCCGAGTGTGTGGACTCGGCTGATCGAGCTGGCTTCTTGGGATGCCGCTTGGCTCGGCGTAGAGCGGAGAAGCATCATGAGTAGACATCTTGTCGCGAGACCTTGCTCAGCCGGGCTTGAGTTGAGCCTGCTGTAGTTAGCAGTGGGCAAACGACGGCCAGAAAGCATATTCAGAGACAGAGATAATATCAATTTAGCATGGAGGGAATGGAGGGAGTGGGCGGGACACAGCGGGTAGATTGACAGCTTCATAGGATTCGGTGTGGCGGCAGGGGGGGGGATGAGCCGAGGGGACCTCGGTTGATGCATCAGGAGCTGAGTTTTGTTGTAAAAGCTGAGTAGCTATCGAACTCATCAGCGGCTGTCTCCTCCACAGCTGGGTATGCAATCTTTCCGCTGTCTGCATGCACACCTTGACGAAGGATAGTTTTACTTCCCAGGCCCACCCAGAATTCGGAGGCAGCAAGTCCTACATCTGCGGAGGCTTCATGTCACAGGCCGAATCCTAAATCCTGGAGGCAAGAAGCATCGGGGCACAAACGTAGGCCTGAGCACAAAAACCTGCAAGACCACGCAGCTTTCATCAGATGTGGTTCGAACGGCCGTGGTGTTGAACCGATGCCAGTGTTGGCAATTAGGGGAGATGTACGCAAAGTGACCTGAACTCTACAGAAGTGACGTGTGACACGGGAGCTGCACCCTGTCCGACTGCTCGAGTGTCACTGATACTGATCATGTATGCCGTGCCTCTCGTGTTTGGTGGCTCGCTCCAAGCAGCTTCGCACCTGAGCTTCCAGGTCCCGAGAGGGTCAAAATCTTCCACTACTCGAGCGATCCAAAGCCGTGGGCTCGACTTGTGGAACCCGCATATGCAGCGTATAGCGAGGAGGACGGACGACTGTGTCGCTGCAGATCGAGCTCATGCCCTTGTCTGCTGAGTTTTGAGCGGGGCCAGGAGTGGTTGGAAGAAGTGCTTACGAAGTTCAATGGCTACCGAGCATGGGTGCTGAAGGAGAGCTGCACGGCCGAAGGTGTTTTGCACTGCGCCGCAAGGATTTCCCGTACCTCGATGTTTGGTTTTTGCACCAGGACCCGGATGCCGTCGAACGTGAGGCAGACCGCTGCGGAATTGTATGCGGTCGTGGCCTCGGCTGTCTGGGCAGGGCAGTAATGCGCAAATTGAAGGACCTGCATCGCCTGCATCCTGTAGGCCCGGACGGAAGGATCCACAAAGCACTTGGGTGGGAAAAGTTTGTTCCCGATGGCGACAGCTCAGCCAGTGGCAAGCGGGATGAGGCGAGGCATGGCACGCATAGAAACTTGTGACCAACTGGTGGTCACGCTGGTGTTGAGGATAGTCACACGGCACCGACATGCGGTGACAGAGGCAACAAAAACAGAGACACTCTTAGGATTCACTTTGGTGTACCCAAGAGCCTAAACCATGTCAGTTTCGGCTCCAAACTCCCTTGCACCAAGCAAGCAAGAGCGCTGTGTGGTGCCGCCTGCGTGCGAGGGTGTGTCCTTTATGCCGTGGACGGGGGAGAGAAGGAAGGTATGGGGGGGGAAGGAGAAGCGGAAGGAGAGGAGAAGAGGAAGGGAGAGGAAGGAAGGAGGGAGGAAGGGAGGGAAGGGAGAAGGGAAGGCAGGCAGGTAGGCAGGTAGGGAGGAAGGAGTGCCAGGCGAGAATGCGAGATAGAGTGACCTGTCCAGGATTCAAGCCCCAAAGAAGAATGGCGGCGAGTCCTGGGCGAAGAGATTTTCGTGCCAGCAAGTGCAATACAGGGAGCGGCGAAGGCATGGGCATGGTCATTCATGTGCATCTTTGCATGATCCCGACCATTTCTTGGAGCTTCAGGTGACGCGCACTGCCCTGAAGATGTGGGAGGAGGCATGCTGCAACGATGTGATGTCGCCCCGATTAAGATACTGCGCGGGTGACGTCAAAGGTCTATCAGGACCTGGCTGCCGGCCTCGCAGATCAGAACCTTGCTGAGACCGTGATGAGATCGGTGGGCAAGGCCTCGCCGAGCCAACCAGATTTGGTACCAGTAGAATTCGATCACGAGACGTGCGGTCTGGTGACGCCAGGACACCACTGCAGTGGACACGGCAAGCTGGAAGCGAAGAGCCTTGGCAGAACTGCAAACAGCGTGGGTCAAAGATTGAAGCAGCTTGCCGAGGTCATGGTTGGTGGGTTGCACCTGAAGACTGGCCAACAGAGAGGCGGCTTACCTCTTCCTGCAGTTGGTCACTTGGCGATGGCAGGCGGCAGGCCTTTGTCCTTTTGGAGGTGGTCGTGGTAACAGAAGCGGCAAGCGTTGAGAAGCCAGTTTTTCTCATGGATGACTCCCCCTCTCAAGGCTTCCCAGCGGGCCACAGGCCATTCGGGCTTTGTTTCGCGCAGTCTTCCCGGTGAGCGACGTGCTGAAGTTAAAACTCACCCGGGAACCTTCCCTTGGCAGGTCTTGTTGACATGTGGGAGTGATGTGCTCTTGCAGACTGATGTCGAAGGGGTCCATGTTGCCGTCATCACGCCAGGCACATTGGATTGAAGTGAATCAGCAGCTAGCACCGGCGATTTTGAGAGTTTGTATATAGTAGTCTTGATCGGGTCCAGGTGGCGCAGAGGTGAGAAGCTTCCCTTCGGATGCATCAGTGCAGATTTGCGATGCAAAGGCTCCTGCAAACTATCGTCCGATGGGTCATCGCTGTTCGCCTTTTGCGCAGGCTTGGGCTGCCCAGCTGCCTGAGTCTGCAATGGCAGCTGTGGCAATCGCTGGCCTCACCGGGGACTTGACAGCGCTCGCGGCGCTGGCTGAGGCGCTTGGAAGACTTGCTGTGACCGGTGGCTGATATTGGCCGTTCCCAGGGTGGACTGGGCTGCCCTTCGGCTGCGCCGCCTGTGGGCTGTCGTGCGGCAGCTGCAGTGGGTCGAACGCACAAAGGTGAGTGGTAACTTGTCTTGATGGTACCTCCATGGCCTGTGCGGCCCAAGCTGTCGAAAAACCTCCCTGAACGTGTGATGACTTCCTTTCATGCTGTTTTCTGGCTGCTCAGGACGGACACTCATGCCGGCGTTGATTTTGCAACTGCTTCGCTCAAAGGTGTGTGAAAAAGTGCCGAGCAAGCTGGCGCTCTGTCCTGGAGACTCAGTTGCCCATCCTCTTGCGGCATTCTGTCCGGCCAGGAACACAGAGTCTTCGTAGTGCGCCGCGAGCCAGCGAGGCAGGAAGCCCTGTTGGACAAGCCAGCATTTCTGACGGTCACATGGGTGAGTCTTGGTGTCGCTGTCGGATCTGTCAGACTCGATGGTTGAGCATGAAAGAGATCGTGGAGCATCGGCCAAAGATGGTCTGGGTCTCGGACTAGACCTGGCTATTCCATCAAATCGCAGCTACATCAGCAACATGGAAAGTTTCAGCTATGACTACGACTCAGGTTCAATGTGTAGAGGATGGCTCCCTCAGCAGAGTTGCGACCGCTACCTTCGGGCAAGCTGCGCATGTTGCTGTGTTCCTTGCTACTCGTAGCTTCGCCTGTGGAAGCCTTGAGCTGCTCACCACGGGGAGATTCTGCGCTGTTCTCTGGGGTTCACAGCTGTTGAGTCCTCGTGGATTGGTCGTGCACCGATGTCCTGTATGATACAAATGCAAAACGCAGAATGCTGACACATGCTTGTGCTCACGATTCTAGGATGGAACGATCGCCTTGAGTTGGCCTTGGTGTTCAATTGCGTTTGTGTAGTGCTTCCCGAAGCCTGACGTTCGTCGGGCACCCATTTCAAGGACAATGCTTCCGTATAAGCTTCGCAGGCACTTGGCTGCAGGGACAGGCCTGCCCTTTCGCTGCATCCGGTCCTAAGTCGTGACAGCAAGCCTGTACGCTTTTTGGGTCCAGCTTGTTCGACAGGACTGTTGAATTGGAGCACGGGTGCCATCCCGCAATTCATCACCCAGGCTATCTGAGAAGATCTTTGGAAAGGGTCCTCCTGAAAGCCGACAGGTTCTTGATCATTTCGGCTTGCATCCTCCGCCTGAAGGGCAGGCAGAAGGCTCAGGCATATGTAGTTCAAGAATACTTACAGTGCAATTGCGCATCTTCCGAGGTGTATCAGCTCTACACCGCATTCGACAGGGACAGACCCTTCGAGAGCAGTCCAGAGCCGGTCTTGCCGCAGTCTTCGGTCGTTTCTCGCCAGGATAAAAACGGAAGCTTGTCGCTGTCGCTGGCTCAGCTGGCTACGGCAAAAAGTCCGGTTGTGTGTCGTGACGACACATAACTGTTGCAGCGCTGGGTAGCTTGCAGAAATTGTCCTTTGCATGTGGCGCTACAACTGTATGGTGAACGTGGGCTGCGTGGTCGACTTCCACGTCCACGACCTCCCTGCCCTTAACCCTGAGGGGGGAGGCAACCAGAACAGACAGATCCATGCGAATCGGTGCAGCGTGGTTGTCGTAAAGTCGGTACTCCCATATACTGCCCACCTACTTGGGTGGGCATTAGGCACGGGCAGCCGGCAGCAGAAATGCGAATGGCGGTCGGGGCGACGCTCAGTTTTTAGAGTCTAAGTCTAGAGTCTTGAGATTATTTCGCTGCAGTTCGGGGTAGCCCAAGGCTGCATGAGGAGAAAAATGGCCTAGGCAGTCTGAAACGGAATTGAGCACATACACTGACTATATTATGCACTGGTCCGGGAGTCAGACACGGGCTCTCATGAGATTTGTCTTCCTAGGTCTGAGAGTCTCCGCTTGGTCGAGGCGCCAGTCATGCCGCTCTCCTTGGACCAGCCGAACCAGTTTCCTTGTAGGCAATCGTCCGTGCTGCTTTCAACATCAAATCGGACATGGCCGAGATCTTGATTTGCAGCTCTTTGCTTGTACTTTGACGAGCGATGCATTCGGTGGGCAGCATAGTAAGGCCCGACAAAACACGTCCTCGTCGTCCTCAGTGATGTCCTATTCGCCAGCTGGTGACCCCGTCAAGAGACCTTCTCAGAGTGTGTTATACCCCGGCAGCGGCACTGTGGTTTCTGCAGCTCAGCTGCAGTAAAGGTTGCAAGGGAAGAAGTCAGGGAGACGTAGTGTAGAAAAATGTAGAAAAGCGAGTGTCTTGCTCGTTGCAGGCTCCACCGTTGGCACAGCTTGCCACACAGGCCGAGTCTGGGACAACTGCGAGATTCAATACTTCCCATGCTGCCTTCGCGCTTCGCTGCATATGCTCGTAGCTCTTTTGCTGGCAAGTTATTGTCGAGGTTCAGCAGAATTCTCGTGGACAAGTTTGAAGTGTGAGCAGCAGAGAACAGGTATTAAACATACATAGGAGCTAACCATGGGCAGGAGTTAAGATTGAATTGGCACTAACCCGCCAAGCTTCTTCGCAGATCTTTTGCTTTTGCTCCCATGGAATGCGTGAGAACATGGCTTCTTGCAATCCAACTGCTGGTCCTGCGTGCAGCTCCAGAAGATTTGAGCACCATCTTGCAGCAAGATCTCGCATGCGGACTCTTGGCTTTCTGGGTGGTGTGCACCAGCGTAGAAAAAGCCATGTCTGCCCGTTCAGCTACGGTAGGCTTGATGCGACGGTGAGCTGATGGTTCGTCTGCTTGTAGTCAGTTCATGACCCGCGTGCCCCTGTGCGAGCCTTTTTCATTCGACGATGATGAGGTGTGAGCGGGAGATGCGCAGATGGTCTACATTTTCTGCAGGTCGCAGTGTCAAGAGACGTGGCGAAATTAGATAAGCCGACTCTTCGCAGGTTCAGATGGGAGCAGTTCTGAGCAGTTCCTGAGGCGACGGAGAGAGTCATCGCCTGCATTCTCCGGTTTCCTTGCGGGCGTCGGTCGACCAGGCACTGTCGACTGGAAATGTCGGATGCCAGTGCTGTCAGTGACACGGTGCAGGCTCTGTCCCCGCTCTATCGTGGCGGCCGCCGACTGCTTGGCGGCAATGAGTCCTGTGGCCGTTGCCTGCGGAGCTGCCTTCCAAATGAAGACCCACACTTCCGTGGCAAGGCGATGCTTACAGAAGCCCCACTTCCGACATCTTCCGACATCTTCCGAACCGGTAGTTTTTTGGCAGTCTCCCAGCCAGGCTGGCTACGAGGAATGCACCCGACATTGTCCTGCCGGGTGCACTGAAGCGAGCCTTCCAGAGATTCCAGACGTGTTGCGTGAAGGAGCCCCCTTTGTTTTTTAAGTTCTCATAGACTGCTAAATGGATAGACCATGGCTGCTGTGTTGGAGGAATCCGTGGACCAGAGAACGAAACCTGGGGCTCCTGGATGCTGAGCCTCCACCAACTCAAGAAGGAGAGAGCACTTCCCACACAGTCCATCAGGCTGCAGCTTTCCTGTTTTTGTGTGGGTTGGGCTTGTTCGAGTTTTGGCGACTTGTCTCCCCTTGTCCCGCACCGTCATCCTTCATGTGGCTCACACGTGGGCCCCTTGGCATGTTTCTTGCTGGTCTTTTGTCGGCTGTGTCAGCGATTGTGGGGACATTTGTCTGGCCCAGTGTATAAGTTTCGTGCCGCTTGTGTTTTTCTGGTCTTGTGTGGTTTGTCTCTCGTTTCACAGAGACGAAGATATTGCCCTTCCGAAGCACGTCATCCACAGGCGGGAGGGGAGGGGGAGCTGGAACACAGGTGGCGTCCATGGCTGGGGGGAGACGGCGAGGGTTCGGATCTGGGGCTGGCGGATTAATTTGATTTTTTGTTGCCGCCTATTTGTGGTTCACTGGTTCAGGGATGTTTAAGGGCATCGTTTGATCTCGTTGTTGTCAACATGTTGATCGATCCGAGATCTCTCCTTCGTATTAAGGGCTTGTCTCGTCATTTTCGGGAAGTTTGATCCGATATCCACTGCCCCGGTATCCGATCCGTTTTCAGAATGTGATTGGAAAATAAACAAACAGACACACACACACACACATATATATATATATATATATAATATATATATATATATATATATATATATATATATATATATAAATAAATAAATAAATAAATAATTAATTAATTAATTAATTAATTAATTAATATATATATATATATATATATATTAATTATAGGTCTATCTTTATATCTTTAGATGTCATATCTCGCATAGCGGGTCAAGCAGCACGTTGGGCCACTTGCTTATTTCGCCATTATCTCCGACAGGGTTTAACAGGCTTGTACTACCAGGTAGCATACATACCCACTCCAAATGTGCGCAACGAGGCCCAACTGATTGTAACAAACGCGAGACCTGTGCTTTCCACCGGCACACTCATGGTATGGCATGTGTGTGTGACGTCAGGCCAGGTAATACGAATAATTACACTGTTAGCGTTCTGAAATTTAAGCGCCGACGATATCGCTGCTAAATGGCTGGGCCTTGCGGAATGGAGCTTTCGCGGAATGTAGTCTGTGGTTTCCTCCGTGCGTTTCCTGCTGCATGCAGGCATTTCCGACTGACGTTGTTGATCAGTGTGAGCGCTTGAACGGTTCATACCTAAAGAAGTGCTGTGTTCTTGGCAGACTCTCAATATGTTTTGTTTCTGTTCACCCGAAGTCTTTCCGAAGCAGAAGGCTCCTTGAATCGGGGGTGGTGTTTACGAATCATTCAAAGTTTGGGGTTAGGGCCAGGGTTTTGAGTGTGTGTTTTGGCTCTCTAGATTGGGGAGTCTAGAGCATCAAGGGGCAGGATGAGAAACTCATGTGCGCGGACCAATCGAGTTGATTCCCGAAGCAGGAGTTGGCAAATATCGACTTCGTCAGTGGAGCAGGCTGAACCAGTGCATTCAAGCCATTCGTCGACCGTGAACATGCAGTGTGCTTCCCTTCTGTGCAACACGCTCGTATCCAAGGGTGAGTCTTGTCTAGTGTCTCGTTGTGAAGGCATCAAGAACCACAAGCAGTCTTGTGCATGTTAAGAGTGCCAGGTTGATGAATGCTGATCATGTTGGTTCATTTGCCAACCGCTAGGGCTAGCAGCAATTACTTGCGAAATCTGTTGGCGCGACAGGCGAGTACGAGTCAGCAGAGTTCCACCACAGCAGTGCGGCCTATGTCACTGCAGCTTGGGCAACAACCAGGTGTATAGGTTTTTGACATTCAACAGCACTGAACGGTTGCTTGCCGTTGCACGTGTGGGTTCTGATAAGGTTCAGACCATGGTTCATGACCGACGTCTGTACAATCCAATGAAGCACACTTGGACAGCAGAGCCTCGGCGAATTTTCTGTGCGAGCCAACCATCCTGGAATGGGCCTCGACGTGGTGTTTTGCTACGCTTCTGCTTCCCCAGCTCTGTAGCAGAGGCGTAGACTTGGCTATGCCCGTTTTCCAAGGCCAGATACCTCGATGACCTCACCCAGCGATTTGGAGGCGTTGACCAAGTTTTACTGTGGGCCGGTTATCCAAACCTCGGAGTGCTTTGGCACATCAAATGGACATGCTGTTTGGAAGCAGCGCTCGGACTGCTGCGATGCCAGAGTGAGCACTTTGCCTAGGTGGATACGAGAAGCAACTTGGACATGCTGGAAGCGGTACCTGGCGGACTTAAGGCTGCTGTCAAGGCATCTCGGAAGCAAATGCAGCTCCCTAGCTTGACCCGTTCCGCAGTTAAGGGCGTGAGCCGTTGTCATGCACATCTCGTTGCAAGAACTCGTCCGTTTCCCGTGCATGTCGGACCTGCTCAAGTTCCTGTCGCGCGCGCTCCGGCAGCCGCTGCTTTCGGCGCCATGGCGAAGGTCATCATCGTGGGCGGAGGCCTTGCAGGGCTCTCGGCGGCGTGCGAGCTCCTGGAGCGGGGATGCTCGGTGACGATCCTCGAGAAGAGCCACAACCTTGGCGGTAACTCCTCCAAGGCTACCACCGGCATCGCTGCACCAGGCAGCGAAATCCAAAAAGCGAATGGCATCACAGACAAGGGTGAGGATCTCGTAAGTGTAGAGCCGATGGCGAAGGAAATGATCGAGATGGGTGCCCAGGATGTTGACTGGCTCCTGAACCTGGCTGGCTGCAAGGACGAGATGACGCTGTGGCTCACCCCGGGCCACAAGGGTGCCCGCACCCTTGGGACCAAAGATCACTTCCCTGGAGCGGTAGTCACATATGCTGTGGTGCACCAGTTGGACGGGATTGCCAAGGCAAAGCCTAACAAGCTGAAGCTGGTGACATCGGCGACCGTGTCGAAGCTGATCACCGAGGGCTCTAAGGTCGTTGGGGTGGAGTACCAAGCCGGAGGCATAGAAAAGGAGATGGGCATCGTGCTCCTTGCCACGGGTGGCTTCGCTGGTGACACTTCCCCGACCTCCTTCTTGGCGCAAAGTGCCCCACAGCTGCTGCAGCTGCCCACCACAAGCGATGAGCGAACAAACGGCGATGGTATCAGTCTGGCCCAAGCGGTAAAAGCGGCAGTCAAGAACATGAACATGGTCTCGGTCTACCCTACCGCGGCTGTGATCCCAGGCATGGAGAATGACAAGTTCAAGATCGTCCTCTCGGATGCCATCGTCGGTGCAGGGGGTAAGCTCATCAATGCTGACGGGAAGCAGTTTGTCAGCGAGCTCGAGATTGCACAGAAGCGTGCCGATGCCATGGCGAAGTCCAAAGGGCCTTTCCGCATCGCGATTGCTGAGGCCGATGCTGAGAAGGTGAAGTGGCTTTGTGACTTCTACGTCTCGCGCAAGGTCATGAAGAAGTACAGCAGTGCATCGCAGCTGGCCAGCGAGATGAAGATTCCAGCAGGCAGCCTGCCGGCACTCGGTAGCGGTGCGGTCCTCGTTGCACAGGTCACGGCAGCCATCTACACCTGCGCTGGTGGCTTGGCCATTGACCAAGGCAAAGTTCTCACAGGCACCGGGGCGGCGGTGGAAGGCCTCTTCGCAGCTGGCGAAGTGACAGCGTGCCCGTGCCCGAACGCATGGTCCGCCTCTGGTGTGCCGCTGCTGTACTCCATCTACACCGGCCGCATGGCTGGCAAAAGTGCGGCTTTGGCCCTGGGTGCCAAAGAGAAAGTGAAAGATCTGGGCTCCATCGCATCGGCCGAGGAGAAGAAGATCGAGAAGAAGCCGGAGGACATGTCTCATGAAGAGCTGTTGGCCTACTGCAAGGAGCTAGAGACGCGGCCTGCTGCCGCCGCGGCTCCTGTGGCAGATGCAGGGCCGCC